GTTATTTTATGGTGTAATGTACATTCATCGATACTTAAACTTTGTTCAGACCACCGATGCATTTGAACAGCTGCAGAAAGTGTGCAACTGAGTGCTTCTGAGACTCTTTCAGTAAAAGTGTGTGCTTTATACATTTAAAGAGTGTACATAGGGACTTTTGGATCCGTAGGTACGATACTACTTTGTTGTTTTCAGTCATGCGTATGAATATAAAAAAGAATCCACAGTCCTGGACTTGCGACCTTGTCCGTATGACGATTTTGCAACCATCATTGCAGTTGTAAATACGCAAGTTTTCAGCCTAGCTTTTGGTTCCATCACAGCGGAGTTGAGCTTGTTTTGGGTGCAGTTAACTCTGCATACAATAATAGATGTGCAAGGCAATTCGTAAAATGTGATCCACACTAATTAATTAGCCAAAACCAGGCTACTCTAAGGACATTAGAAGACTCATACACCGGAAAAAGGCTTTTATACTTGATGTTTATTCCGGTACATACAAGCAGTGTTCAAAAACGAGGAAGACTCGTTAACTTGGACTTGCCTTCACTCCTTAATTGGGAAATGTGTACACTTTTGAATGTAGACATTAACCTACAACTACAGCTTCAAAACCACCACTGCTTACACACATTGTAAGCTTGTCGTAAACCTCAGGATAGTTTCACAGTTGCTGCAAAGTTGTCATACTTTTTATTTCGGTCTTCTGAACGCCTTCTTTATGCTGAACTGACATGGATCACTTAACGGTTACTAAAGGCAAGGCTGCAATTTTAAAATTTAGCCATTCGTCCTACCGAAAACCAGGCATAGCAACAGAATGTTATCAAAATTTACTGTAGCACACACTTTAAACTAAAGCAGCTGTAGCGATGCATCAATACTCCCCTCGTGAGTCGCGACAGCTGGATTACATTTCCCAGTTCACGCCAGACATCCGCCACATTTATGGAGCAAATAACTCCGCAGCCGACGCACTATCACGAATAGCTTCGATAAACCATATTGAGGGCGCTGATCTCGTTGAACTAGCTCGACGTCAAAAGGAAGACCTCGAGCTGCATCATGAGTTGTCGTCCACAACTCTCAAGCTGCAACTTTGTCCGGTTGGATGAGACAAGGATACAACTTTGTGCGATGTCTCTGCTAGTCAACAACGCCCAATAGTTCCAAAGAGTTGTTGACGCAACGTTTTCAATACGTTGCACAAACTCTCTCATCCAGGTGTACGAGCCACCATCAGGCTTATCGCACAACGTTTCTGCTGGCCTGGGATGAACAAAGACGTTAAGGAGTGGGCTCAGACGTGCTTAGCTTGTCAAAAGTGTAAAGTCACGCGACACACGAAAAGCCCTTTAGACTCTTTTCCAGCCCCAGACATGCGTTTCGACCACGTCCACACAGATATTGTAGGACCCCTACCAGAATCTAACGGATGTACCTACCTTTCCACTCGTGTTGATCGTTTCACACGATGGCCGGAAGCAGTACCTGTTAAGGATATTACTGCTAGAACAGTAGTTCGTGTTTTCGTCGAAAGATGGATCGCGAACTTCGGATGTCCATCTTACGTCACAACCGACCGTGGGCGCCAATTTCAGTGTGGATTATTTCACGCTCTAACGGCACTTTTAGGTTGCACCCGGATCCGAACGACAGCCTACCATCCACAAACAAATGGCATGGTGGAGCGTTTCCATCGACAGTTGAAAGCTTCCCTTTCAGCTGCAAACATACCTCAGTGGACCAAGGCTCTGCCTCTAGTCCTACTAGGTATTCGTAACGCCTTGAAAGTTGATGCTGGATGCACTCCTGCAGAACTCGTCTATGGGACCACTCTTCGCCTACTAGGTGAGTTTGTTTCCCCTTCAACTTTCAAACATGTTTCCGACAGGGCATCTTACATGACTAGGCTTATAAACGCAATGCGTTCAGTTAGGCCTTCTCCGGTTAGACCTCAAACGACTGATGTCTTCGTTCACCCCAGTTTACAAAGGACATCGCACGTGTTTATTCGCCACGACACCGTTCATCGACCACTTGAACCACCCTACGACGGGCCGTTCAAAGTGATCAAGCGACACGAGAAATTCTACATAATTGAGCGAGACGGACGCGAAGATACTGTCGGTATCGACCGTTTGAAACCAGCTTATTTCAAAGGCAACCCCAATGTAAGTGACGTTTCAGCTCGCTACATCCGACCAACGGATTGCTCAATTATCGAAACTCTTGACGATGTGCCTGGTAATGTACAGCGGCAACAACCATCGGCTCAACAAAAAACACGATCAGGTCGAACCGTCGGGTTCCCGGAGTATCTGAAGTCATTTTCAACTTAGCGGTGTGTGTGCCAACCACACTTTTTTTCGAGGCACTATTTTTCTCACTGACTGGCAATGCACAACCCTCGTACACTTTGCCTTTTTATATCAATTTGTATTACCATATAATGAAACTTCAAAAAAACGGTGAAGATAAGCGTAAAGTTTTATTTTTCGACATGTTTATACACAAATAATTCCCATTTTCACGAAATGCTTTCATGGTTTTAAAGACTTTTATTTATATTCCAGGTGAAACGAGCACTGGACGGAACGTCAAAACGAACTGATGACCGCGATCGACGTCTAATTCGATTTTTGGTATTTTATTTATTCAGTCGCCACGACACCCTAGAGTAAGGTTCAGACAACCAGGGGCCACTTCGCGCAGTGAGCCCATCGGAAGAGTTTCGCCAGTGGAGAAACCGCTGGGTCTTTACCTCCGGCTCGTATCATCTTAGGGTCCTCACGAACTCATTAGGGGGGGAGTGATCTGTAGCGTCATACACTTCCCCAAAATCAATAGCCTAGGGTTTAACGACTTTCGACATTGATGCTGACCTTGATAGTTTAACTCGACTCGCTAAGCTGAAGGCACCCGGTCAAGCATCCTCGGCATTTGGCACGCCGTCGTGTTACGTTCCACTGCTCGTATTCGACTCTCTAGCCAGTTAGTTGGAACGCATCGGTATTTTGGCACAACCATCCAAATATACTATTCCATCCGGCTACGCTATTGTGTTCTTCCTTGGTCTCGTATTCGTGGGTACATAACAAGTCCGAATAATTAGTGATTGGTCTTTGCGTCTGTCAAGTTCGCACCAGGACAAACCCTAAATCTGTAATCTCTGCAAAACTTTGATTACACAATCTCGAATGTCCTATGAGAAGCAGATTGTGAGGGATCGCAAAACTGTCCCAAATGACTGTTCTCTTTCATCCGAAGTAGGACTGAAAGAAAACGTGGAATTCCGTCTCAGGCGATGGATGAAAAGTTTGACAATCTGGAGGAAACTAATCTGCCCAGTGCTGAATGTCTATCGGAGAGCTTTAATGAAGTCTACTGTGTGGATCACGACGATGAAGTTCTAAATCATGATGTCAGCACTGTTCCACTAATAGATACTGTGTTCACAACAAAGGAAGGAGTCTTGCAGTTGCTCATCGTTCTTAAATTTGGAAAATCCCCGGGTCCCGATGAGTTACATCCCAGACTGCCACCCTTGCTAGCAGACATTATTAATGAGTCAGTCACGGATCCTTGCAGTTTGTCCCTAACTCAGACCCGCCTTCCAGAGACTGGAAAGATGTCATAATCGGCCCGGTTTTTAAGGCCAGCAGTTGCCAGTTGGCGTCAGGCTATCGACCTGTGGGTCTAAGTGGCATACTTTTCAAGATTTTGGAAAAAATAATTCATGACATGGTACTTAAACATGTTGAATCAACCAATCTTTTGGCACCACAGCAACACCGTTTTCGTAATGTACACTCCTATTTAACTAACCTCCTTATCGCAGCCCATGATTGCAAGCAGCCAAGAGATGCCGTGTCTAAAGACTTCAGTAAGGCGATTGACGAAGCGTCACAAGCGGAATTACCGGGAAAGCTCTCCTCTCTCGGGTTTGGTGCTTGCAGGCATGGACTAGGGATATTTTGCACGATGGAAGGCGAAGAGTAAGGGTGAGTGGGAAACTGTCCCGGTGGAAACTTGTGATGAGTGGAGTTCCTCAAGGAACAGTCCTAGGCCCGCCACTTTACTCATTATATGCCGACGAATTACCAAAAATGCTCAACTCTCCGCCGATGTTGTGAAGATTTGGAGAGCCACACGCTGTGTTGCGGATAGATATACACTTCAAGATGAGTTAGACGAACAAGTGGGTTGGTCCAAACGCTAGTGCCTGGAAATCAACTCTAACAAAAGTGTAATAATGCACATTGGTCATAGCAATTGTTTCCAGTATTCCGTTGACGGTGCACCATTACTCCCAGTCTTCGAACCGAAGGAGTTGGGTGTCGTCATTAGTCATGATTTGAAAACCTCGGCAAACTGCAATGCAGCTGCAGCAGAGGGCTTCCGCGTATTATGATCCCTCGGCAGAGCTTTCAAATGTTTTGATCAGGACACGTTCAGAATACTCTACTTGCGTCAGACCTCATTTAAAATAAAGCATTAGGGCCGCCAGCCTATGCCTACAAAGGATGCTGACGCACTCCAGCGTGTTCAAAGGGTAGGTACTAAGTTTGTGGCAGGCCTTTCGAATCTGTCCTATGAGGAACGACTAGATCAGCCAAACTTATTCCCTCTGTCTTACAGTAGGAAACGAGGTGATCGCATACTGTCATTTCATATTCTTAATAATGACTTCGCTACTGATATGTCCTACCTTTTCTCCCCTGTTACGACTGCCTATCTCCGAGGGCATCACAAGAAAATTCAAAAACCGCGATCGAGTCAAATTAGAGTGAATCTGCATTTCTTCCATCCTGTTGTCAACGTCTGGAACTCCTTACCTCAGCAAGCAGTATCAGCACCTTCTGTCAACGCGTTAAAAGAGAAGTTGGATCTTAACCGAGATATCTTCTGCAAGGATTAACATATACCAACTGGCCTACTGTCCTTATAACTAAGAACTGAAAACTGAGGCAATTACAAAGCTAAGCGCCACATTTTGCATGAGGTTTACGCCCATCTGGCGGCTCTATCAAAATATTGTCCTAAGTCCTGCTTTAAGACCATCACATAATTATCTCAAATCTACATTCTGTTTAGAATCTACTCGACTTTTGTCAATTAGGGTTAGAAAGATGAATGGCCTAAATGGGCAAAGTGACATGGATTCCCTACGGGTTAAAATCCGAGAACAGGTAATTCGTACTTTTATTATGATCTTCCTTTAGGGTGATGTTATTCGACGTCTTAAAGATGAGAAGGCCCCTGATGGTACCTTGAAAGAAGCTGTTTCAATCCTAAAGGCTCTTAAAAAGGCTCTAGATGAAAAGGTTTTATCGATTGACTAACACTTACTTACTTAATTTCCAGGAAATAGAGCTTTCTCCCAAAGATCCTTATTTTGACCGTGCCAAACTAGAAGACCTCTTGAAACAGAAGTTTTTTTATGATCAAGCGTTCTCGATCTACGGAGGTGAGTCAGTAGGAATTGTCTGCATGTCATTTTTACAACACTGCTGGTAGCACTATTGCATTAACACCAGTAGCTTTACAGTGCCAGTTCTTGTCGTTACTTTTTCTGACTTCATTAAATTTTTTCTCCAGGTGTGCAAGGCCTTTATGACTACGGCCCTATGGGTTGTGCCATGAAAGCTAATTTACTGTCTGCATGGCGTCAGTTTTTTATTTTGGAAGACCACTTACTGGAAGTTGACTGTTCAATGCTCACACCTGAACCAGTTTTACAAGCGTCTGGACACGTTGATCGCTTCACAGACCTAATGGTTAAAGATGTGAAAACTGGGGATTGTTTCCGTGCCGACCATCTGGTGAAGGCAGCACTAGAAGCCAAGAAAAGTAATAAGAAAACTCCTGAGAATGAAAAACACGAAATTGATCAGATGTTAGTGCAGGTAATTGTCCCCATACTGCAAGTACTAAAGTGTTTTGTGGTCCTTTTTCTAAAACTAATTGGTTACTTATTCACAAAAGTGAAATATCTCCCGCAGTAAGGTTTCCAGTTTGTAGTTGACTACTTATCAGGGTTAACTATACTTATCAGTTGCGACTTTTGAAAAACTAAATTTTCATTTAGTAGGTCATTTGTTGCACAGACGTTATTTGTAGTTCGCGTCACTCTGCACGTGTTACGTCTCAGTATTTCAGCGTGCCACAACTCAACAGCACACAAAAATGATTTAAAGGAACAGGGTAATCACGCACGAATACGGAGGAAAACAACGTGGTGTACTAAATATATTGTAGGGGAAATTTTCCACATGCACCACGGTGACCGGATTTATTTAGTTACTTGGGATTTCATTTCTATTTTTCGTCATTGTAACTCCATGAAATGCTCACATTTTAGATCGGTGAGTAGTTATTGACAACAATATTTTCCAACGTTGGTCTAGGCAAAAGACTTACCAGTAGGAATGGGTTTGGCATTATTATCAGCCACACAACGGATGTTAAATCCGCAGTGCATACGTATATGTAAGCAATTATTTGATACTAAGCTTGTATCAGTTCAGATCCACGAACGCCTAGTAGTAGTTATCTGTCCCTTTTGTTAGTCCAACCGTACACTTAATAGGCCACAGGTTGTTCCAAGGTTTTCTAGTGACATGCAGTTAGATTTTTATGAAAGTGAATATATCAGACTGATGCGATATAAAGTAAACAATGTAACTAGCAGTTAAATTTTTTTACCCATCAGTCCCCTCTTTTAATCTGGGAGTCATGAGGCTTAGTTCCTATTTAAAATTGAAAAAAGCAGTCTTTTGCATGAAAGTTCATCGATCCCCATTTTCATGCTATGGTTGCTATTTCCAAAGCTGAAATGGTGTCAAGATCTACAGGCATTATTACGAGTAATAACTTTTGAGCTAGTAGATACTTCTCTTTATGTGTAATGAAATCATAAAGCACTGACGAGAAGAAAAGACTGATAGGGTTTCTTCAAATGATTGGTTTTATGATAGTGAAAGTTTTTCTAACTGTCGGCCAACTTTGTAGCACGCTGTAAAATAAAACTAGATTTCACAGTTACTGACATGTCTGTTTAATTGTTTGAAAGAAATGAGATTTCAATTCGCCCTCCCTTAAGGCATTGGTCCTGAACACTAGAACATACGGGTAATAAACTTGTCTTTGAACCGTTTTAAGATTTGCTAAATCAGCGAGGATTAAAGTATAGTTAGATTTAGTGGTTTTGATGAATTTATCATGTCCCATCATCTTTATTACTACCAGCAAAGCTTATAGTTCCAGGTATTTGACTTTCAGCCAGTTGGTCATGGGTTTGAACCCTGCTCTATCTACCAATATCCGGCCACCAGGTGGGATCATTAACCCTCACAGAGCTGTTGTTCACTCCTTAGTGCACAAACCTGCATTATACTAGCAGCAGATTGAACCTCAAGTAAGCCAACTGTCCCAGGAAACACAAAAAAGGTATTTTTAATAGATAAAGTAAGCAAACTCAGGACTATCAGTTTACGTAAGATTATGTTAATTTTGTTGTACGTCTATGAATACAAGAGTGAGTTATCTCCTGAAAATGGTGGGCATAATCATGTTTTTTAGTACATATTTGGGTCTAGTGTTCTCTGTTACTTATTAGAACCAAGCGGGCTCTAGACCAGACAGGCGTAACAACTAGATTTTTACCCTCTACCAAATGTTGGAAGAGAAAAACACTTAACGGCTCTTGAAACTAGCTGTATTTTTGACCTGAAAGTGACACCCGATTCCATCGATCAAGAGGTCTGATGATGTCTTGCTGAAAAGAGCGCCATGCGGTTACGTCATCCTGTTAAAGTTTAATGCATTCAAACCTGTTGATGTGTCAGGATCTTAGGTTGACGTATCAGGTGAAATGAATTTCTCGCCTCTGAAAAGTAATTTTTTGTTCCAGAACTGGTATCCTTTGGCACGTTGTCTGACAGTAGAGAGAGAAGTGATTAAATGTGTCACATCAGTGACTGACGAGACGTCAGCGCGAATGCAAAAAGTTTGATTAACTTTTCCCAGCTCCATCCGTCTGCGATGTTGGTAGGACACCCAGTTACGTATTAAGCATCTAGTGTACTGTTCAGCGAGTCACTTTTGTATGTTTGTGGGTCATGAAATGTAGGGACACGAAAAGATTTCAAGTTTTCGACGACTATCCTCTCTGCAGCAACAATCGTTTTTCGTGAAACTACTGCCTAAGCAACGAAGGTCTTAAGTCCAGATCCTAGGGTAAAAGTGACAAGTCAGATAATGTTATAAACCGCAATCGATAAGGTGACCAGAAAGTGTTACGTATACCTAATCTCTATCTTGAATTTGGGGTTTGTGGGGATCTAGAGATTTTTTTCAAGTTGGCATTCATCATAGACTGACATCAGTTGGAGGAACATTGGAAACCTGGAACCACTGGACAACTGTTTCGTCCTAGTGTGAAACTCCTCATCAGTGCGAACCCACGACCCCGCCAGAGATCTAACCCGCCACCTTCAAGTTTCGTGACCAGCACGTTACCATTGAGCCACTGGGTTGGAATCTAGTGTTCCATATTTCCAACTCCTGTCAGTTAATGACATAGCGCGACCCCCTCCCAATGTCACGACCACCAGGTTTCCTCCCCTTGGTCACGACTTCCTACTGGAACTCCGGGAATCACCTCTCGAAGTTAGTCACCAATGAGCACTAGTTCAATTGTATTTGAGGTTTTCGGGGATTTAGAGAGGTGATTCCCGAAGTTCCAGTAAGAAGTCCCGACCATTAGAACAAACCTGTTGGCCATGAGGAAAAATACTCAGAAATGACATTGGGTGGCGGTCGCGCTATATCGTGAACTGACAGAAGTTAGGAATATAGACCACTGTATTCCGACCCAGTGGCTTAGTGGTAACGTACTGGCCACGGAATCCCGTAATCTATCAGTTCCAGTCGAAAGATAGTAGAAAAAGATTGCAATGACAGCTTGTCAGGATATAACAGTGGTTGCTACTGACCAACTTTTAACTTTCAATTATGCAGCACGCTAGCTTGAACATCTCAATTATCCCTGACTTCTTGCCGCGCACCAGTTAGTTCAAAAGATGTATTGCTTACTGTTGGTGTTGGATATAGACCTCCTTGGAAATGATGCTCGTATTCTCCATCAGGCGTGAAAGAGTTGTTTTTCTGCCAATTCAGCACAGTCTTGTTGTATTATATTGGTAGTAATTTAATTTATTTCGAACCACATTTCTATTAGCGGTACAGGATTCTCAAGATACGATCTGCGAAATTTACTTGTACATTTTTAAAATATATTAACAATAATATTAGCTAACAATAAAATTAAAACTACCGATAGTATCGTTTCAATACCGTTCCTTATTTCAGAGATGATTAACTAAATCTTTTCCAATATTCCTAGGCTTAAACTGTTTACTCATGAATTTCTTTAACGTATTGGGTTGCGCTTCCTCTAAAAAGTCACCATTATTTTTTTCGCTTTAGTTGGACAACTATGGTGCTGACGAACTGCACAAAATTATTCGTCGTTTTGATATCAAGTCGCCGACCACATTAAATGATTTGACTGAGCCTCAAGAATTTAATCTGATGTTTTCCACAATGATTGGTCCTACAGGTCAATGTAAAGGGTAAGCTCACACAGAACTTTTGTTGTAATATATCGGTGTACAGTATTTCTGCAATTTCCGTATGCGTTAGGGTTGACTTCTTGGCCTAACACAGATATTTTTGTAAAAATCAGATCTGCTAAACAGTTACAGTTCTTTGTCTGTGAAAGTATTGTGTACACTCATTTTGCTGTGTAAGCGCTACATAGGAAATAAAAAGTCTTAAAAGCCGATGTTAATCTAGGAGATTATTGTACTATTCTTTAAGATTCATTATTACTTCTATCTGACTGAAGTAAATTTGTTGGGTTGTGCTTTTGTACACTTTGGACTCAATGGCATATTGGGCTGTAGCTCTGCCTACCAGCACTTTAATGTAGATAGTTCCTGTTACTCTAAAATTCCTAATACATTGAAACAAAGGAAATGAAAGTTTAATAATCGTTCGTTTGGTTTTCAGCACTCATTGATTGTTTTATAAGTTATGATCATGAGGGTTTTGGGTCGTATTACTTAATTATTTCTAATTACCGACTACTTTCTTATAAGTATATAAAATATTAGTACTATGTAATACCTCTAAAATAATCATGCGGCAACAATCAAATGATCACAACTCTAAAAATCAGTTAACAAACCAACAAGTTATTCAATTATTATTTAAACTGCCAAACCACTTAAAATTTCATAAAATAACTGTGCAAGTTGGTCATCTAATCTCCAGTTCACTGAATTAGACCGTGCTCTATCGTGAATTGAAAGTCAGTTTTGTGACAAAATGGATAACACGCAATTCATTTAAAATTGGTTTTATGAAACCATTTCTTAAATATACAATAAAAGTACTACTGTGTTCAGTGGTGTACAAATGTTTAAGAATTAATTTGGTGTAGTGCTTCACAATCCGACGATTTCTATTAGAACTCTCTAAGGCTCACGAAATCATAGGTTCAGGTAAGGCAATAATTTGAGGGTATGCCTGAAACGAGTGAAATATGCATATAGAAACGTATTCTCAAGTTTCATGCAGCGTTAACATGTTAGCATTGATAGGAAGCTAAAAGCGACTCAAATATGTGCAGCTTCGCAACCAGGCACAGATTTATATGCTAAGATAGAAGCCACAGTAACTGTATGAGAGCTCATGATACTACTACCCTTCCATTTATACCGCATTGGATGGAACGAGATTACAAGGACTCAGTACTTCGGAGAAAAGTTCCAAACTCAATTAGCCACACTTCTACAAATAGAGTTCCAACCGAATGCTGAGGAATACAGATATGTTAGGATTTTACTTGTATGCTATCTTTGTTAGTTGTGTATCGTCAACAACTGATTGCTAAATCCTGCTGCGTGTGACATCTATGTACACGTACTTGTCAGCCTTACCCTTAGCGTTTAAGAATTTGCTCGATAAAGAATAATATTTTTAATGGATAACTTGTACTTCCTGATAAGAGGTTAAATATAATTATTCAGGCTAAATACTAATTATTAAATGTGAAATCACAATTTATAACTTCATCCCACCAGTTTCGTTTATGCTGGTGAATTTGTCTGGTGTTAGGGATGCTTATATCCCTTATATTCCATACTTACAATTTGTATATACTTGAGCTGTTTTTCTTCGCACCCTTTTCCCCGCGTATATAGCCCACTGGCGTTCTGATTGGCTCCTGCCCCTTTAAATGTCGTAATTATTCCTTGTCTTTCAAGGTTACTGTAAACTCTATGAATGGAGTCTGTTTTCACTCATAAAGTTTTTCGGTCCGTGATCCTATAGACTCAGTTGATTACCGATCTTTTGACTTCCTTTTGAGAATCACTCGGGTTGGACCGTCTAAACCCTTTACTATGAGTGGTTAATTTTTATTGTTTGTTCTCACCACTCCGCATCGTAACATCTAGTCCTACACAGTGGCGAACAAAGAGTTGTACACTGATACTGAGCTATTTTAAAAATTTCTTATGAGAATGGCCATGATTTATTCACACTTAAAAATCCTTATTATCTCAAGAAGTAGATCTCATAATCTCAATTCTACTTATTTCAAGCAAGTAGTGAACGCATTTTTATAGTTTACAATCTTCAGCGATTCATGTAAATGAATTTATTTCTCTACCACTTCTCATTAAAAAATCATTGTTTTTGCCTTGAAAAGAATATAGTTTCACTGTTTATTGTCACAAGTTATCCTTTAGTAATTTGCTTGTTAATAATTGTCCCACTCTTCTCATATAAGTTACCTTCGCCCGGAAACTGCCCAAGGAATATTCGTTAATTTCCAAAGACTGTTACATTTTAACCAAGGTCGTCTTCCTTTTGGAGCTGCTCAGATTGGTTCCGCTTTTCGAAACGAAATCAGTCCACGTTCTGGTCTAATTCGCGTTAGGGAGTTTACTATGGCAGAGATTGAATACTTCGTGGATCCAGCTGACAAAAGCCATCCCAAATTCGGGGAGGTAAAGGATGTGGAAATGCTGCTTTATTCATCTTGTAATCAAATGAATGGTGAGGGGCCTAAGACTTTAACTATTGGAGAGGCAGTCAATAAAGTAAGCTGAGTTTCTAGCTATTTTGCTGTTGTTCACAGTATTGTTTTGTGTGATCTACAGTATGGCTGTGTATATGTAGGGACTGATTGTTTCAACGAAGTTGAAGGTTAACACTGAACAAAAAGGCTATTTCTTCTTAATCACTCAAATTATACCAGAACAATCAAATCCGATAAAGTTGAATATTTAACTTTGGTTATCAATGCGGTAAACCATGCACAATGTAACTCATAGACGTTAGTTTTCAGTGTACCATTTTTTCAACTAAGCTTTGCAATTTGATACAAGCAGAAATTCTGACTGCTAGCTGAACTGGATTCACAAGTCTTTCACATAGTGGGTTGTGTTGCTTAACTATGCGATGCTAACCTCAAAAAGAAATTACGTAGTGCATTAAATTATTTCATCATTTAAGGAAACAATTTACTTCTTTTTCCAACTAAGTAGTATACGGGAGGTTGATTATTATCATTACAGGCTATCGCTAGCTGGAAAAACGTCAAAAGCCGGAGAACACTGCATAACTGTTTCATTGTATTTTGAGACTCAACAGTACAAATTTTCGACGCTGTAACAAAGTACTTGTCAAATAGAAAAAATATGGTGCTTTCGTACATTGTTCCAGTTATCACCAGTCGGATAAATGAAAGTTGAGAGTTATCATTCCAATATCCGAGATATATGCATACCCTTTTGAGCTTATACGTTAACAGTAGAAACTGGTAAAAACAGGTTCAGTCATTTGGTGACAAAGAGCATCAGCATGAAAACTTGTAGCAGTAATAAACTAACAACATTGTTTTATAAATACTTGTAATTTCCCGTTGCTATACTGGGTCAAATTGCTCGGCCTCTGTTGACAGATGGACTGTTATGCAGATGCCTTGATACTCCCTGGATATTCATTATATTTTAGTCTATTTGATGAATATCAGTGGAATACAAGGCTCACGTTTTGCCTTATTTTGGACTCGTCGGATGAATGTACCTGCACCCCAGTGGTTGATGTCTCCTCTAAGACTCCAATCCAGTATCCATCGCTTCAAATGCCAAAGCGTTATCCACTGGGATACGAGATCCGCCACCTGTGTAATGGGTATCAGCTGTTATTTCATTGATACTTGTAATTTTTGGTTGTTAATCTGAGTCAAAATGCTCGGCCTTCATGTTTTTAAGAACACAGTATTTACGGATTTGTTCTCCAGTTTTCTAAGCTAATTGTAGACTATGTAGGTAATGTGCATTAAGTTTCATGTTTAAAAGGAAGGAGAAAGGGTTGGTTAAAATAGTTGCGTATGACTAGTGTCAATATTTAGCAATTACACATGGTTAAAATTAACAAACCAATGCTGGGCAAAATCATACTTTCGCAGTTATTTAGACTCTTCTAACTATTCACACCCAAACCAAAATGATAATGCAAATTGACTAGGCTTATTTTTTGGAGTGAGTAATAAATCAGCCAAGTAGTTCGTTCGAAGGCATATTTATTCAGCGTTTGGCTTTCTGTACCTTATATCGTGCTGGTTGCTAATAGTTAGTGTACGTGGTTTGTTATAGTGTTGTTTTTTTTTACTTGGTAATACAATTTGGTATTTTTCTTTTCTACCCTGGTATTAAAAAATATGCAGAGCGAAAGAGGGATTGTAATTAACTATACTCTTTTGTAATGAGATTCATAGTGTAAATTTGTGGTACTCAACTAAATCCCAAGGTTTTTTAAGGACCGAAAGACCCATTATGACAAAACTATGGTGTTCTCATTAATTTAAGCAGTTCATCAACATGGAGTAAATATGACAATATGATTTTGTATGGTAACAGTACATTTCTGAGTAAAAACAAGTAAAATTAGCGTGAGGTACTTGTTACATGAATCATCGAGATCTTATGTATTGTTTTCTAACCTTACGTTAATTTTGCACAACAATGGGTAACTTTTAGTTCCTTAAAAGTTGAGTTTTTTCTTGTCATCACTTCTTGAGCCATCAAGCGGTTATGTATTAAGAACACAGCTAAGGACTGATGAGATTTTCATCGGGAAATTACACTGAATCTCTATAAAATATGGAAACCTTACATTAGATATAGAGCATACAAATAGTCTCTACATTCTACGTACAATTCTATTGCTTCTTTATTCACTTTATGTATTTCCTTCTTATTTTTTTCATTTCCTTCTTCAGAACCTCGAGTAATTGGTTGGTAACTCTCCTTGCTTTTGCCAGGGACATAATATGTACCATTTACATGTGTTCGTATGAATAGCACATATCAAAGTTATTAAGGCGAGAAAACGCTTGAAAATTCGTTACAAAAATGTAACTGGTCTCATACTCTTTAGTTCTCAGTGTCAACCGAAGTCCAGTTATTAAAAAATGCACCGTAATCATTAGACTTAATAATCTGAAATTGGGTCGTAACTCGGTTAGTTCAGTGGTGATTTCCACCATCTTTGGGACTCACTAACACTGGTTTGAATATTCACAAATACTACGATTTCTAGAAACCGTAATTGTTGTATTTCATTATTTATATTCTTTTTGGATTTTTCCCACTTTTCTTCTCAGGGTATTGTGGCGAATCAAACATTGGGCTACTATATGGCACGCATACACTTATTTTTAATTCATATTGGAGTAGATCCGAAACGCCTACGTTTTCGACAACATTTATCCAATGAAATGGCTCACTATGCCTGTGATTGTTGGGATGCTGAATGTCAAACTAGTTATGGTTGGATTGAGTGTGTTGGTTGTGCAGATAGAAGCTGTTATGACTTAAATCAACACAGCAAGGCAACAGGTACCCGTTTAGTTGCTGAAAAACCATTAGACGAACCTGTAAGTATCGTTTTTAGTACTACTTCTCATAAAACTGTTTCACAAGGTACATACAAATTAAGTTGGAATTTTCAGAAGACATTTTTCAGAGAAGGGGTTTCATTTTATTCACACCATATGTACTTACGTAAATGGTAATTGCGGAACATCGCATGGATACGACGTAATTTTGAAAAAGTGCTGTTTCATAGTTGTAACAAAGAGATGAAGATGAGTTCTCTTCATAAACCTGTCAAACACAACCATTAAAAATAGTTTTGTTGTGGCTAACAAAAGGGCCCCAGGACGCGCGTCTCGTCCTACTTGGAACTCTTCAGTCCAATGTACCCTCACCCCAGTGAGTGTTGTTCCCAATGAGACTCGAACTCCATACCCATCGCCTCAAACACCAAGGAGTTATCCACTGTACCACGGAGGCACGGCAGCCGCTTTTTGTACAACGGGTATTGGTTAATGCCACTTATTGGTGTACTTGTAATTCTTCGTTGTTTTATTGGATCGAATTGTTCGATCTCTATTAGCACATGGGTTCCTATGCGGATACCTCAGTTATTGCCTGGATGTTAATTACGATAATTTTGTTTGGTTAAAAAAAGTGTTAAAAATATTGCAACTGCTCACAAAAATCAATTTGACTAGGTTATCAAGATAAAATTAGTGGACAGGAAACAAATGGATATCAAATAAGTTAGAAGTTGAAACCGGCATTATTATAACTGATTTCGATATATTTCTCCAACTATTAGTTCTTAGCATCATTGAAGTTTATCCAGGAAGCCTGCAACTTCAGATTATCAATCAGTGGCTCTTGGGTTTAAATGTCTTGGTCTGGTTACACGCATTTTCCATTCCACTCTAGCTTCAACTAACATCCCGTATCCAGTTGGATTGCACTTGTCATCTTGTTCAGTGCATAATAACCACTCTACTTGCTGACCTAACTCCTTGGTTTGGAACTCCATGCCTAACCTGCACATGGCTCACTCTCTGATCCCACCATGTAAAATGAAGGTCTTAAAGACGCCACCGGTGATCAAATACCTAAAGTCCTCTTGTTTCACATCTGCACTTATTGGTTGTACATTACTTTCGATAATGTAATTTGTTACATTAACCTTTTTAAAACTCAGTCTTAAAGTGTAGTGTAAGTAGTAATTCGTAATTTTTCTTTCAATCTTTGCATAATTATGTGTCAGATTTCGTTATCCATCTCTGAGAAGGGTAGGATAGTTAGGAAAAGTGGAACTGTGGCTCATTGGTCTAGAAAAATGACTTCCAACCAGTTCGTCACGGGTTCGAATCCCGCTCCATCTACCTAGGCTCAGCAGCTAGGTAATAGTAGTTGTACAATGGTTGTGGCTCATTGCCTACTGCACAAATGTGCAAAAGGCTGCTGAGTGGACTTCAATTCAATTTTGATTCCTTTGCCTTTCGTAAGTATTTGTGATAATTCAGAAGCGAATAACTGTTTTTTATTTCAAAGCCTTACTGCTTAATGTGTCAGCATGATAGTGTTGGTTTCCTTTTTGAATCTTAGCAAACTGTACAAATTTGTGAATGTGTACCGAATAAAAGTGAACTTGGAAAAGTGTTTCGTGGAGATGCCAAAGCAGTCTTACAACAGTTAAGCTCTCTTACACTCGATGAGTCTCGCTCTTTAAAGAATGAATTAGAAAGTAACGGGTAAGTTCATAATAATTTAGTTAATAATTAAGTCTGTTTGATTACAATTACTTTATTGTCGGTGTAGTGACTACTCGTTTTGTGATTTTAAGTGTTATACAATGTGATTATAAATACAGCAAGCTGTAATATTTATAGTCATTTATACAGGAAGAATACTGCAGCTCGAATATAGAGTGTTATTAATGGTAAATTTTTATAGATTTGATGTTTTACCTGTCTATTGCGAAAATATGTTATAGTTCTTTCAGTTTTACGTCTCCATCTTGCTTTCGTAATGAGGAACTACAAAAACACTTGATGAAGGCTTCCTACCCAGCTAAAAGGATATGACAGCATAACGCCAGGATTGACTTACTGGTACATTGGCTTAGGCCGACTCATTTCATAGGTAGCACAGCTGTTACAGTAGTGTAAACTAATAGGATGTCCTATCAGCTGAAATCGAAACCCACTCGGCAACCTTGTGCACCTTCGCACACTAAGTATTGAGCCCCATATATTGTGTGGGGGCTAATGATGATATCATCTGGTTGCCCAAATTTTGGTAGGTGGAGCTGGGTTGGAAATGAAGTAAGTAGACTGATGAACCACAGCTCTGCTCTGTCATATCCAGGAATATGAAAAACAGTTGCATCCGCAAAATTACTATTGATTTTAAACTATCACCTAACGTTTGGTAAATCGAAATCAGTGTGCTTACAGTTCCTGTGCCTTTCTTTACTCACTTGGGAAGAGTTTCATTAATGTCTTGGCGTCACCGTCTCGAGGTGTATTAGTTTCTGCTCCTAACTCATATTCATAGCCTAATATTACAAGTATAACATGCCACACGATGAAAGGAAAAAAACTTCTACCTTTACGTATTTCGTGTGTAAGTTTTCTCACTAAAGTATAACAAACTAGTAACCAGACTTTCTATCTTCAGATTTTCACTCTGTGGGAGTCTGTCAGCATATAACCATCTGATATGAATATTTATACAGCATTCCTGTGTCATTTATTCAATAACAGGGGTTGTCGTGACTTTTTTGATTTTCTTTAGTCAAAATTTAAGCGCTATACTCAAATACTGAAGATATAGGGTTTGTGTTTAGAATGCTATGGTTGTATGTATATTTTAATGTTTAATCTTGGGTACTATTCGGGTAATATTCTCTCTTTATAGTGCAAACAATGCGTTTCAAGCAAATGTTTATCAAAGTATTACTTAGATAATGAAAAACTGCTAAACATTCCTCACAGGGGATCAATATAGTGTGTGCGTGTGGGCTCAGATTATTGAGTGACTTTAAAGACCACCCTAGCAACAACCGAAATAATCAATCAGACTTCTCTATTTTATGAAAATCTGTCTTTCCAACCGATTGTTTCTAGGGTGGACTTTAAAGCCGCCCACTTCCAAGATATCCACAAAGTCAGCCTAACGATTGTTAGAGTTGACAACAGAACAAAGATGACTGCAACAAAGAAAAATCTTCCCCTTCGACTAACTCATTTTTAAATCTATGCGTTTGTAAACACCTACACAAGAGAGTAGAACATTCCAGAAAGACTTCCGACCATTGGTCAAAATCATCCGTGCAGCAAGACAGTTACACAACACAAATAAGGATTTAGAATTAAGAAAATAAACAAGGGACTAGAAAATGTAAGAATACATGTTATTAACAAGTTCACAATCTTACCGAGTAGATTGACTCATAACTATGAAAAGCGTTGAATACCTTTCTGGATTGAGTGGGAATTCAGCAACCAATAAATTTGACTATTATGTCAAATGCTTAAAATTTAGTACCATTTCGACTAGTCGATGGCAAGTTGAGTTACTCAAAGGTGTGTCGACAATGCAACATGAAATTCCACAAGAAGAAAAAAGTCTAACCACCAATCTAACGAAGGATGTTCTAGTCGATTATCTAACTTTGCGAAAAATTGCTTTCATTGAAAAAATATCAAGCATCTAAAGTGCTTTTACAATTAATCACTCTCTGAAAAGCTAAATACATATGGTTTGGAACGAGTGGGGGGTGGGGCGAGTAAGTAGAATTGACATATAGAAGTTCTTTTACTGAGCAAGTCACACTAATTTATATTACGCTTTGTGCATACATCAAAATATATCTTGCTGAATAAGCATACCGAAAAACAGGAAAGACTGAAAAAAGTTAGATGCTGAGTATATTTTTCAATCTTTTGTATGTTTAACCAAATTATACAGAGATGATGATATTTCATTATAGAAGATTGCAGTGGACATTTATCCTAGTTGGCTATTGTTCCAAATCTTAATAAGTCTGACTGAAGTGACAGTTTAATTTCTAACCCCGTTTGCATGTGATAAAATGAGTTAAAACGATGTCGAAGTTTGATACGTGGATAAATCACACCACACACGCCTGGCATAGATTTTGCAAGTGACTTTAAAGACCATTGCCGAAGCTAATGAGATAACCAATTAGCTGTCTTTATTTTATGAAAAACCCACCTTCCTGGCGGGAATAATGAAATTCAATTGGTTACTTCAGCAGCTGCTAGGATAACTTTCAATTGACTCTTTTTTTGCCTCAAATAAGTATAATGGTTTTGACAAGGTGTCGATTATCGGGTTTTCTCCTGAAGTAATCTGAAATATTGAAGTCATTTAAATATAACCTCAAGGTCAATTTGACCCTACAGCAGACACGCAACAACATGATTCAGAGCAGTAGCCAGTTTTTCAGCTGTGCCTACATTCCACTTCCAACATTAGAGGGTCGACAATCCACAATTAGTTAATTGCCCTTAATGTTTTAGGTATCGTCTACTAAGGGAGTATGCGAAAAAAATCGAAATGCATTCAGTAACTATATGCACGTTTGGACATTAGGTGATGAGTCATACCCATCCTGTGAGGTCTAATGATACTACCTGGCTACCCAGACTTCTGTAGGTGGACCAGGTCTCGAACCCTAGATCCATTGGTTGTTAATCAAGTGGCTAAACCAATGAGCCACAGTTTCACGAAAGAGTATGCAGTTAACAGTTACCTTCATGTATGTAATATTCGTTAGTTGTTGAGGTTTTGCGTAGTTCACTGGCAGATTTTAATTTTATTGACTTGTGTCATTCGGGTTTCTCAAACCTACATTTACTTATTCCTTGCGACAAATAACGTAATAAAAGTTAAATAAAGTGACCCATTTGACATTTCAATTCATTTGATTAACTTTGGAACTACTAACTTCTTGATTACTGTTTTGTCTCCTACCAGTAAAGCTACACTTACTGTTTATGGAAAACAGATGGATATTAGTCAGTCAATGGTTCAGATCAAGGAATATGAAAATGTTGTGCATGGTAAGTAAATTTTCTTGTTGTCCAACATCTATCTGTGTTAAAGTTAGATGATTAGATAAGAATCCATTACTTCAGTTTTACTCTATAATTTTTAAGTCTTTTTGCTGATTCAGGTTTACAAATGGCTTTTTTTCTCCCTTGATGTCTTGGGTATCAGTTGTTGTATCATCGAGGATAGTATTTATACGTTAGGAACATAAATGTTACCAAGAAACTTAGTTTCATATAATCCCAGTCCCATTACATAATTCCCTGGTTATATATACAGTATTAGTGGTCACCTGATCAAGAGATAAATACCTAAGATTTCAGTTCATTTGGTTGCCAGTTTGAATCATACTCTGTTATTTCACAATTAAGTAATCTGATCGTTTCAATCTCATATGTCTTGGTTGATGGCCTAATGTTTTGTGACAGAGTAAAAATAAATCATGAAGGCTAGTTTTAGAATTCGGGTAACGTTTATTTTACTTCAGCAGTAATAAATGATGTTCTGACTGTAACTGGAACCCTATATCTACCATTTCAAATTTCGTGAAATTATCCGATAAACCAATTAGTTACAACTTGTTCATTGGATATCAGCTGTTACTGAAATTTTTCATCTTTCTTGTAGCTGATCTACACAACCGACCAAAATCCGGTTAATTTATCGCATAAAAAGTATGAAATAAGAGTCGTGGGTTACCTCTACCAATTACTACCGAGTACATAAACTAGTTTTCATTCTCAGACAATTTCCAAGCATCTATTTAGCGAACCCATATACCAAAATATACACCAAAATATATAATTAAAACATAGGCAATATCGAGACATCCGAGCAGGAGTTCATATGCCAATAAAGACCGATCAATTCGGTCCAATCAACGATGAGATAATACAAGGAACAACAATAAAACTGCAACCGTAGCACAAGAAGTGGGCTACCGTGACTCGATGGTCTAGTGGATAACGCTCTGGCGTTTGAAGCGACTGGCCCCGAGTTCTAGTCCCTATGGGAACAGCACTCACTGGGAGGCAGGTGCATTTAGTTGACGAGTCCCAAATAGGACGAAACGTGCGTCCTGAATTCCACTCCTAGCCATTATCTATCATCGTTGAATATATAACGGTTTATACCGTCTGCAAAAACCTAATCGTAGAGGTCGACTGATATAAGATTCTTTCATGTCACACTAAATGTAAACAGAAATTTTCATTTCAGTATACTTCAAACATGCATTGTAACTAGTGTGTCTTAGTCGAGGTTGTAATACTAAACGCAAATAGGAATGTTTAAATCACACTTTCGAAAAAGATGTCTAATGATTTCCCTTAATATGTAATTTATATTTCAGTGAAAGAGATAGTACCTAATGTGATTGAGCCTTCCTTTGGCATTGGTCGAATATTGTATACCATATTTGAACATTCTTTCCGCGTACGTGAAGGTGATGAACAACGTACGGTGAGTTTTTAAACTAAAATAGTTCATTGATATTTCTTCATAGTACTATACGTTTTCACTTTTATCACGTAAATACAAACTTATCGACTTTTTGGTTAAAAACTGTTAAAACTCAGTTGACCGTTAACTGAATGTGTAGATTTTCTTAATTAGACATTTCTCTGTATCATCAAACAATCAATTATGAAATTGTAAACAAAAACTATCATTCAGGTAGTGTAGATTGAATATATCTATACTCAACTGTTCAACTTTCTACACTATTCAACGTCACAGAGATCAGGAAGTCAACAGCCAAGTCAGTGATAAATATTAATCAGTAGGGATTGTGACCCTAAGATGATCATGAAAAACATGACCAGTTACGTGGCTTGTTATTTATCTTCAGGCAATGATTTATACAATTTAAGGGACAGTGTGTCTGTAACCTTCAATTTCTCTATGGTTTAGTTACTTGCTTTATAGTGTTTGTTGTCACTACAGGTTTAAATAAACCAAACCAACAGAATAATATGAATTTATTGTATATCACGTGATTCTTATCCACTTCAGCTGACAATCATTAAAAAACCTTAACATCAACAAAGATGTGAAGAAAAAAAGTTGAAACTGTTTAATTCATGTGATCAACAAGAATGTTGATTGGAATAATCGATAGAAATAACATAAAGATATTTAAAAGCAGAACAACAGGAATTGACCGATCTACTAGAAAAAAAATAGAACATTTCACAGTAGTAGTCCATCGACCTGAACGGCGAAACACTGAAAAAAAGTATACCGGGCAAAAAGTGTTAATAGAAATTATCGACTACCCGAATAATTGAATATTTTAGAAGGAGATGACAGAAACAGAAGTTTTACTAATCATTAAAAAAAATCATAGGTGAAGTCGGTATAATGAGGCAGGAAATTTTTTTACCGGGTGATGATTGAAGGGGAAATGAAAATTTGAACTGCAGCAGGATTCGAACCAGCGACCACCGGGTCTCTGGCCTCCCTATGCTCTACCATCTGAGCTACGAGAAAGCAGTCTTAACAACAATGATAATAATCGCTTTTTTTCCTAGCAACATATGTGGCACATTATTAAAATTTTCAACAGATACCCTTCCCGTACAATATTTCTAAAAAAAAAAATAATGATTGCATCATCTGAATAGTGTTAACAACAATGGTATTAATATGAAACGGGTAGCTAATGTTACCTTACCGTGTAGTCTGGACTTGGGGATGAATACAAAGTCCAGGTGTGTAATTATGATGGCTGTAGTTCAGTCAGCCGGTACAACAATCTGTAATTCCTTATAAGTATCCTAGGAATAGTACTCTGCTGTATTTTTGGGCATTTATATCTCCATTTCCATCCGGCTTAACATTTTTTCTTTGTTTTGTTCTCAGCTTAAGAAAAGACAGTTTGAAAAACATTTCAAAAATGTACAAGAGTACATGCTGCGTTTAGAAGACACATTTAAAACATCAAAGCAAACGGAAAGGGAAGAATTTGATGAAATATATTCGGCCGAATAAATTGTTAGTAGCCTAAGGTTTAAGCCAGGCACCTTTTGCTGTTTAGTGTTTCGCAGGTAATGTGATCAACCGGTTGCACAAATCCTGAGTAGTAGTTTAATGTAGCATAGATCAGAAAAAAGAGTAGGTAGTGAAAGTGTTGGACAACTATTTATCTTGTTGGTAATTGTGTAGGAAAATAGCAATGCGGACCGACACCTAATGCAGAATAGTACGGTTATCACGATCACTTTTACATTGTCACTTCAATTCTTTTAAAGAATTCTGATGCATGAAAAGAATACTTCCAAAAGGTCTGATTATCAGTGTCGCATAAGTACTTGTAAAAAAAACTGTTGAAGTGAGCAAAGAATGTAGTTTTCGATAACTTCTTTTTCTTCAGCTTCTACAGTTATGTGTACATACTGAGGAATTACACGTAAGCAATACGGAGGTCCCGCATATCAGTTTGTTAGTACGGTTAACGAAGTCAATTCAGAAAGGTCGTGTGTGAACGTTTATGTTAGAATCAGTTATCACTGGGATTCGATTCAAAACAATTGATTATCCAAATGATTATACGGCCTATGTAATGCTACATAATAGATTAATAAAACAGTAGGAAGGTGTTTATGAGAGTTGGATGAAATGAACTAAACTATAGTTAAAGAGGAACTGGCAGCCTTCTGCAACACACTAATCGGAAATGGCTATCCTGACAAAAAGAAACAATACGATTACAAAAATGGCAAAAAAGGATATTCTAATGGCTAGCAGAAAACCGTTATACATTTGGATACAATTTAGAGGTGATGTAATCAGCAAGCTATTAGTTCACAAACTATTCAGATCAGTTCAAAGAATTTTCAACGCTCTAGTAAATTAGAAATTTCGTTTTCCACACGCGCAATAGTGACACCGAGAGTGAAAGATGAATTACATAGACTGGCCATTTCCTGTTGTATTTATCAGTTCGACTGCTCCTGTGGAACCAGTCACATCGGAATTTAATTTTCCGTGCTCGCGAACACCTCTCAGCGTGGTTAAGTAAAGGTGTGGTAAAGACCATTACAAGCTCCATATTAGCACATCTGGTTGAAATGAATCATAAAGTGGATTTGAATGAGTCGTTTTCCACTATGTACCGCGCTCATATCAACTTACTAAAAGGTACGCGGCTCAGGATCCTTCAAACTGAAGAAGCAGTAGCAATCAGGATCAAACAACCCGAATTATGTTTTCAAAAGAAGCAAGTTTTGTCTCTACAACTACCTTGACCCGATATGGGACGTACAAATTCGTTCGCATCCTGCCCTAGATTATCTAATTCTATACTGTATAATCTGTAATAATTTTAACAAATCCTCATAACCTATTTTTTCATTCTTAGTTTATTTCATCCAAATGTCATAAACATCTTCCTGTTGTTTCATTGAACTACCATCTTACAGCGGGACAAGAGGAACCAGTGGTTGGAGACCCTAGGTGATATGGCTGAGAACCGATGTCAGTGGCGCAGATGTATACACACATTATCCTCATCTTAACAATGCCATACCGAACCTCACCATTTTGTCACTCCTCTTTCCTTTCTTCTCGTACTTTATATTTCTTTTGACTGCATTCACTTATCTTCATCCTTCACCTCACTACCTTTCTACTTGATGTAGTGATATGAGGTGTGGCAACTCGGACCGTTAAGCAGTAATGCCTGGTCCTATGTTGATAATGATGATGATTACAGCATTACATAAGGTGCATAATCATTTAGATAATCAGTTATTTTGAATTGAATTCCAGTAATAATTGAATTCCTCAACTGTTTAATGTTTTTACTAAACTGATAAACGGTATCTCAGTAGTGCTGGCGTTTACTTCCTCAATATGTGCATATAACTTTAGAAATTGAAGAGGAAGTTATTGCAAACTATTTTTTTTGTTCGGTCAAATGGTTTTTGAATTGTAATGGGAAGTTTTAATAAGTTGTAGAGAACTTTACTACTACAGAAATGTTCATTTACTTCTCCCTATATATATATATATATATATATATATATATATATATATATATATATATATATATATATATATATATATATATATATATATATATATATATATATATATATATATAACATCGTGATTTATTTATATATACATTTCATTCATTACTTTTTTGTTGAGTGTCATACGCTAGTAAACTGGGTGTACTCTTCAATGTGATGACCTATCTATTTTTATGATTATCTTTTTTAAAGAAAAAGTTCATTTATTCAGTGAAAATTTTAGGAATACTTCCGGATTATATTTTTACATATCTCACCTGTACAAAGAATTTCATTTGTGTATTTTTTTTAAAAATTTGCTCCCAGTATGATTGATGAATATTAGGGTAAAAACAATGTCCATATCATCTGCCTCTTTTAATCTTTTTTTTTTCACCAGGATTATTCGTTTGTTATTTGTTTTTCTCACCTTGACCTTATCACGAATTTTATCTGGAAAGTTTATACTGTTACTTTTTATATGGTTTTGGTTAAGATATAAAGGGAATTCGTTATCAATCGAGAATATCTTTTTTTGTTACCAGTTTTCAATCTTGATTGATCAATTGTATATCGTGAAACAGTGTTCTAAGTATACATTCTTAATTTCAGTTATTTATAACTTTTTGTAAATCATAAGCATATTAATGCATAAGCGGGTCTTCACTTCAATGGAAACAAATACTTACACTTCTCAGTCATTAGCTTTTTTATATCGTGCATAGACATGTTATGCTCATATTGAACTAGCTAGTAAATATTTAAGCAAAGGCGAATGTAAATTTAATGTAAGTCATTTTGAAAATATTTCATCTAGATTACATTTTGTTAACAAATTCATCACTTGTTAGATGCATTTTAATGAGCTATTGTGTGATGTGAAGACGGGATCTTAGGTGAACGTATAGAAGATAAAGGTGATGAAGATACCCAACCAACAACAAGAAGAAGAAGCACTAATCCCCATCAACGAGAGAAATCTGCCTACCTAGGCAAGGCAGCATCATTTCAAATACAGGCGGCACAGATGAGGACGTCAAAGCCACGATAAGAAAAGCAAGACAGGCCTTCCTGCATTAACCTGAAATCAGCGTGGAGATCTACTGCACTCAGCATAAAGCGTGAACAAGATCCGGATTTTCAACACCAATGTCAGTCAAGTCAGTGCTTCCATGTGATGGTTGAGAGACTTGGCGCATTACGAAAAGGATTTCCAACAAACTACAGACATACATGAACAGCTGCCGCTAGGCTCACTCGATTCTGAAGATCAGATGGATGGCCAGAAAGAATAAGCAACAAGGAACTTTGGTTGGCTGGCTGGCAACGAAGCAACCAAGAACCCATCGCCCAACAAATATGCAGAAGGAAGTGGAGATGGATTGAACTGGGCATATACTAGGAAGACCATTCGAGGACATCACTCGCCAGGCCCTCGAGTGGAACATAAATAGGAGACGATGAGTTGGACGTCCGAGGGTGACATGGAGAAGATCGTGTGAGGAAGAAATGAAAGTTTCTGCGCAGCCATAGAGCCAGCTTAAACAGACTGCAGAAAAGAGTGAAATGAAGACGTACTACTGAAGCCCTATGTTCCACTAGGAACGTAAAGGACAAATAATAATGATTGTGTGATGCATTTGACTTCTAATTATTTCTAAAACAAACTCCACTACCCTTGTTTCTATGCCTACAGGGGGTGGGAGTTGATGTCAGATTGTCCATAGATAGGTTTTATTCTTACTGCCCTACAATTAGCTAAGCTTTATTCCAACATCTAACGCTGATCTCATTATAAGACTTGGTGATAGATTGAATATATGTAGTCACCTAACCTAATCTTGAACAATGAGCAAATGGGTCATCATATATTTGGAACTGCAAAATTGTTATTCTCAATTTTCTCTGAACAAGGAATTTGTTGTTCAGTTGAGTGTAAATGAATGTTTTATTCATCAATATCAAAAACTTCACTTATCCGTAATTGTTATTTATTCACTCTAATCGCGTACTAAAACAACCGTAAGGATAAGTTGTTTGAAGACTTCTGAGTCTTATTTATATGCTAACAATCCTAGTGGAATTCAAAATCAAGTCTATTACGTCATTACTTGTATGAATTTTAATTTTGTATGTGATTTTCTTCTTTTTTAGTATCTTTCAGTAACCCCAGTATTGGCTCCATATAAATGCTCTTTGTTACCACTTTCAAATCATCCTGATTTTGCTCCAATTATACGCAAGTTATGTGAGTTCAATCGTTTCAATATTATCTACATCTGTTAGTAGACTAGATTAGTATCATACATTTAGAAGCATAAGTTTTCTTTACCATTTTATTAATTTTTTAAATATTATTCAATGACTAGTTTTGTTGGAATTAATATTTAATATATCTTTCTGTCACAAATTATCTATATCTTACTAGTGATATGAGTTTTAACTGACTACGGCATTTTGTTATTAACGTTTGACTAGTCAATACATCTCTTTCTGTGTGTTAACATTGGGTATTAAATAATGTCCAACTAATAACGTCTGTTCATTATGATACCCTCCTAATTAATTGATTCCTTATCCATCCTATGATAATCCTTTAGATTTAATATAACTTTCATTAAGACTGTCTCATTGATGGTGTTCTGATAATTGGTCTATATATTCTGGTTTTTAACTGGTATCATCATTAGCACTGTCATCAAATCTAGTCAACGTCTTTGATGATTTCCGAAATAATCATGGAACTTTGGTTTACTGGTTTGAGTAGTTATCTCTCAACCAGTAGGCTCAAATCGTGTCTCACCTACCAACACGTTTGGGCAGTCACTTGTAGTATTATTGGTCTTCACAATATGCATGACTTGTTGCCTAGTCAGAAAACCTGCACGTGGTTGTTGAGTTACATTCACGTATTAGTGTAGAGTAACATATACATAAGCTTTGCTAATTCACAATTTAGATGAAGGCGACAATAAATGGAGTACTATATGCTGCTCACTTTCATTCGTTAAGTATGCTTTTGTTCATGCTTATTTTGATAACTTCTTGTACTTTATGATTATCAATGTCCTACTTCTAATACCAGTCATGTTTTTTTTGCTCTAATTCCTTACATACTTTCAACTTTAGCCATAGAACTGACTAAATGTGGAGTTTCACATCGAGTCGACGAAAGCAGTGGATCGATTGGACGACGTTATGCTCGTACAGATCAAATTGCTATTCCGTATGGAATTACTATTGATTTTGATACCTTGAATAAATCACCTGCTTCAGCAACTCTTCGTGAGCGAGATAGCATGAAACAAATTAGAGTTCCTGTAAGTCTTAGGTTATTATTATTATTTATTTTATTAAGACTATACTACAGTTCATCATTAGATTTTAATTTCTTTATTGAGACAATCCTCCGTCACGTGCTATCATCATAACAAAATTGTAATATGACATAATTCAGTTACGTCCATGGCTTACTTCTTAGTTTTAGTGCACGTTTTTACTGTGTATGTTGAAGGGATAGTTAACTACCTTTCAGAAAATGTTATTGTAGAATCCCATTTGGTATTTTAAAACCTGAAAATATAGTGGGCAATATTCGTTCGCTTTTCCGTAGGTCACAATACGCATTGCATGTCTAGAAAAACATCAGTAATAATGATTATATGACTAAACTGCTTTTCCGTAAGCCGTACACTAGCAAAGTTTTTTTCTCCTCTTATTCTTATATTGACCAAATCAGTATGAACCTTCCTTTTCTTTACTGAGTGATCAACATTAGGAGCCCTTCATAGGAACACTGCAAGAGTTGACGCACTTCAAACAGATATACGTCCTTGTATGGTGACTACATTATTTGTAGAAGATATCTACCTAACTATTTTGCAGGTTTATCATCCTTGGTGTTTTTTTTCTAAGTGTTTATCTGTTAGTGTGGTCGGTTTGCCGCCCGGCACATACAAATGTGCACACTTTGACGTTCAGTGCATTCAATGTCTCAGCTATTCTATGATACTCAAAATGATGTTCCGTTGTAAACAGTAGACTATCACTTTTAATGTTGGAATACCTATTCCTGAATAATATAAACAAATTTTCTTCTGAACAGTAATTGATCCAAAGTACTCTATCCAATATTTGCTTAGTGGTATACTGTGTGAATCGACTTGCTATCTATCATCATGTGTAGCTTAACGCTTATAATTATCTGCTATTCTATCACTTTATCTGTTAGAAATTTGGATCATGCTGTGAAAGTATGAATTTATATGACTGTTCTTCTCACGAACGTAAATAGCATGCATTTATTGTTAAAATATTCTATCACTTGATATTCTTAATTGGATGACTGCTGACGCAGCATTCATTCATGTAATTCAGTTTTCTGTGCATTAATAAGCTTTTAAGTGCGAAATATGCGTATCAATTATAAGTGTATAGTGTTTCTTTTGAAAAAGTTCCCCGGCAGATCAATATTTCGTTCTGTATATTTACGTGATTGTCATGTAAATGTTTTCTGTCATCTGTAGTAATGCACAAGCACTCCTAATATTTTAATGATATAACTCGTACTACTTTCAAGTAGTAGTTCATCGAATTAATGCACTAATGTATTCGGATCATTGATGAAAGCTGCTTATTACATCTTTTTTTGATGCATTGATATTGCCAGTCTCAATAAGAGTTCCTGACATCATCCAGGAGTATACATCCAATATCCTTAGTAAGTGTTGTTTACTATTCTTTCAATGATGTTCATCTGGAAGATATCCGAGCTGCATTAAAAGCCTTCATAGATAGACGGAATGAACGCAGAACCTCGTACACAAGTGCATCAGTTCAGTTTCCGCAATTCACAGTAGTATACAAAGATCGACAAAGTTATATGAGGGGATAATTAATTTGAAGATTATGGTAGGACGAATATTCAAGCTTTAGAAAACATCAGGGGATTGTGAACAATTTTCAGCCGTATCACCAAGAATTCTCAACCATTTATCCCTGTTGTCTCCAGGACCCCAGCCAGGTAGTGAACACCTTCCCATATGATTCGCACCAACATTTATGTACTTCACGGGCTAGTGCAACGTCTTGGTCTGGTTACCATGATCCCTCTTCCAATCTAATCTAACTTCCCCTGGCATGGCACATGGAGCTAATCAGTGGCTCGTTATGTGCAACGCATGTCCAAGTCACCTCAGTCAACGAAGGTACACAACCTCGTCAGTCGCCTTGACGATGTTGCCTTCGCTAAAAACAGCCTTCACAGGACCAGAAAGATAACTTGCTTAGTCAATGTTATATTGCCTCATAGTATGATTTCTTGATTAATTTTGATGTATTCAATGCACTGTGACAATGATAAACTAATATTTCTGAGCAAAACCTATGGATTTTAACGAATCCAATTTCGCGTCAGACAATTCAGTTTATTTTACTGGTAATTTTTGTATTCTTCAGTTGGATGAACTGCCTTCCTTGATCGCAGATATTTCTAACGGGATTAAATCATGGGATGATGCACGAGCAAAGTATCCAGCATTTGAACAACAAGAAACGGGTAAACAATAATAAGTCCTGTCTGTTGTTTATTTGTAAATGTATGATAACAAAAGCATTTCTTAGATAAAATGTTTATGGAACTTTTGTGTTTCGACTTGTTTCTTTACTTCTTGGCAAAGTGTTGTATTGTGTGTACGCGTTTGTATACGTTCTGTGGTGTTTGTTAGATACTTTTGTCGTTCATAATAATTGTTAATTCTAACCTCATGTTTGTACATTTCTCGATATCACTGGTTACTAACATTAAGACCTCCCAACTACCTGTTGTCAGTAATGATCATACGTTATGTAAATTCCCATATTTAGTGATTGTATTTGTTTCCATGTTCATCTAGTAAGTAACTACATTTCACAGTTAGGGTAACATTCAGTTAATAGACTCATAAGAGGTTATTTCTAACCTCAGCATTTCATCATACAAACCTTTCACAGTTCATTGAAAATACAATCATCTCAGAGATAGTTATATTTTAATAGAGAATAAGAGTTATTCCTATGCATAAATCAACTTCTTATTGTTTGGCTACTAAAATTAACATTTCTTGACATCATTTTTCACATTATAGTGATTAAGTTCATATACTCTTCATTCTTCAACTTCGTTTATGTTTTATTCTGAAACTTGCATTGCTTTCTTTATTCTATACCAATTCATTTAAGGGTGTCCATTAAATTAATCTTTTTCTTCACCGATCTGATTAAGATTTGTTTTACTTAGGGAAAGCTTGTTGTATATATTCACTTCAGTTTTAACTGTTGTGATTTTCTTTATTTTTCAGTGACTCATCTTAACCTGTCTAATGTCTGTCTAGAACATTGATTTTCGTATGTCAATTCTCTGCACATAGACGCTAGATTTCATCTGTCTTTTTGTTGGATAGTGTAGTATCAATTTTGACCGTTAGGTAGCTTAGTTGGATAGGTCATATATTCCTGTTACTGACGTGTATTAGTCTTATTTCCACTTAATTCAACAACTAAACGGTTTAACTGTGTAATATCGATGTTGGTAAATACCGGTCTTACTCGAAATCTAAAAGAAGGAAATCTAGTGGGATTCACACTAATTCATGTGAATACAGTAATTTTACATACTTATTGATAGTAAGCATACAAAATACAAATATATATATATCTACTAACACATGTTTATGTGCATATCTATTCAAATAGTAAGTAGTTTTGCCAGTACCACATAAGCACAGTACACACACAGTTTGTATACGACAAGTTGACCATGTATGTTGCAACAACTTATTCAAGCTATGATGACTTCATTGTTGATGAAGCTGTATCTGAAATTTAAGTTGGAACTTGTCACGTCCAAAAGTATTTACTTTGCTAGTATGAACAGTTGTACTATGAGAGTCAGTATGGAGTGTGCTGTTTGCTACGCAAAGTAATGTTTACAGCGGTAGTATTGTAGCAGTTCCGGGAGATGTTTGAAAAGGTCGCCTTGCTTCCCATGGTACTGAAGATGTAACAAATGCAGGGAATAACTTCTCAGTGAAGGGTTTCACGCACTGTTCAGCTAATTTACCAAGAACTGAGAAGAAATGTGATGATCGTCTATGTTTATTTGCTGTTTCGACCTGCGTACACACCTATTGGGGTTTCGGATGATGTGTAGGACCGGTTACCAAAATCTGTCGAGCTCTAAATTGCTAAACTGTAGTCAGTAACTACAAAAATTAATACGAATTACAACCGGACAGAAAAGCATCTTATATTCGGAATTAGGATCCAACTATTCGTTACTGGTTGTCATCTGCCATTGCTCTTTGGTTATTACTTGTCCCTATCTCTAGCTTCAACATTGTAATGCTGGCCCAAGTTGAGTTGGATGATTCTGGACTTCAGCCGTAGACTTTTGCTTGAAAGTTGAGTGATTAAGCCAGTAAGCCATAAGTTTTGGTAAAGATGCGAAATTCATACGCTAAGGAAGTATCCGTATAACCCAAAAACCTAATGAACGTGAGGACAAATACTCTACGATGACATTGGGTGATGTTCGTGCTGTCGTGAGCTGACAGAAGTTGAAAATGTGGATCATTGGATTCCGACTCAGTGACTCAATGGTAACGTGCTGTCCTCGGGACCCGAAGGTCCTGGGCTCGATCCCTTGCGGGGTGTGAACTGCTGGGGAGTCCTACACTAGGATGAAACAGCTGTCCAGATCTCCTAGGTTTCTAATTTTCCTCCGACTGGTATCAGTCCAGAATGAATATCAACATGGATTCGCTTCAGTGTTTATTTGATAACGAAGTTTGTAACCAGTTATCGCTTCAGTGCATCAATCTTAATCCCGGTTTCAACCAAATCCTCATGGCATGCATCTGTTGTCGAAAATTACCAGTTAGACTAACAAAAGTACATGTGAACCAGATCTGGTACTTGAGAATATGAACGATATATATGTAAGCTCAATTCTATGTTCCGCTGTGCTAAGCTTCGTTATTCCATCTTTTTGGGTCATGCGAGAAGAATTATCATGCTCTTTGCATCAATGAAATTTTTTGGCATACTGAAGCCTTATATTCGGTTGTCTTGTAATTGACGATATTATTTTCTCAGTATCCGTACCTTACTAGCTTAAAGGTCAAAGAGATTGGATGACCACAGTTGTGCAAATTCCGTATATAACTCCGCTACCTATTTCTCACTGTTGTATGAACCAGACATTTACATACAGTACTGGTAAAGATAACCACTGTATGAAGAAAAGTGTTAGCCTACAAAATCCTGATAGCTATCCCACTCTTCACTAGTCATTAATAAAAACAATACCACATAGTTTATCCTCTTCAGAGTCATGAATGAATAATTCTAGCTGTTCGGTAAATGTCATGTCATTAATCTATTAGAGTTGAAACTGTATAGGTTTCCTCTGATGATCTAGTGAATTATGTTGTCTGTTGATCAGTATCATAATTTACTCTTCGCAATGTAAAATTTGAATCTACATAGTGCACTTGGCGGCTAGGGAATCTTAGTTTACAATAGTATAGAATGGACTTTGTCGTAATTCTGGATACGCCCTCACTGACAGTGGATCGCTAGATGACACTTTGTACTTTATCGCGTTCACTCATACGACATCTACACTTTTGTCATCTGAGCACCTTTTACATTATTTGAAGAATGAATTCTGGTGAAATCTCCTAGACTCAGACTATAAATCTGAGTTTTAATATAGTCACTATAGATATTGTGTAACAGAGCGACAAAGGTTATCACTTACAAATGTGATCCTTTAGAGATATTTTATAATTTTTTTTCACAGCAATTACCTTTATACACCTTAATTCAACTTAAGGAAGCTACCCAATATATCACTAATTTTGAGTCAGTCACTTTATGGTGGGCATGATCATCATAGAAGTGAAGGAATGTGGTTTATGAAGCACAGTGAAGGAGAACCTATGAATCAAGCTCCTGTTTTGTCTAACACTTGATTACAATGTTAAGGGTTCACTGTCGACAAGAATATTGCTTTTTTTAAATATGGGTTTTATACGTCAATTGCAGCTGCAGAACAGGTAAATTATCGTTTAAGATATCTCATTCATTTCGTCATTGGTCATTGGCCTTGTGTGCTGGGACTGACTGAAGTATTGATGTTGGTTTCAATTTCACGTAGATCTTAGAATGTGAAAGGTGATCGATCCTGATAAAGTATTTTTCTGATTACCTATAAGACGAGTGATCTAGCATTATTTGTTAGTTTTACTAAAAGTCTTATGGTAGGCTGCATATGCTCAACATTTTTCTAGCTTACCCAATTTCGTAGTTAACAAAGAACTGAAATATTATCTTCCGACTAAACCCTTTATGTAACCTGATTTTTAGTAGCCGTGACTTATGCTTATACTGTAACAGGTTTATGTTTTAGGTTAATATATGTATGACAACTGCCAAGGGTTTGGTAAGAAAAAGCATATTATGATCAAACTGGGAATGTATTGAACAAACTTTAAACATCTCTGTTTTATATAATCCAATGCTGAAAATCAGTCTCTTGTCTACTCTCCTAGCGAAGTATTATGGTTTGTATAATACACGGGAACAGTTGTATTAACTTGAATTTTACTCGCACATCAACTGCCATGTATGCGAAACAGTGTAAAGAATGATTAGTGTCTGGTATGTTGAAAAAAGTATGTAAACCTTTTAGCAGTGTTATGGTTGAGCTAAAGGTGGTAGTGCAGGCAATTGAAACAGTGATACTATGCACTTCCAGCAATGATTGTTGCTGAAACTATTTATACTTAGTTCTGTTTTTGGAAGTTTGCGGTATTCATTTATACTTGGTCATCTGGCTCGACAAAGGATGTTTAATCTTTAAAACTCAGTTATTCCTGCCAGATTACACTCTCAAAGCCAGGTCCTGGAACATAGGCACGCTTACAGACGCCCGACAATAGCTGTATTTCTCGACTTGAAGGCGGCATTTGACTCCGTTGATTGAGAAGTCTTATGGCAATGTCTGTCACTGAAAGGCGTGCCTAGTAAGTACATCACCTTATTGAAAGCTCTCTACTCGAACACTTGTCGGCATGTTAGAGCCTATGGCGAGTTGTCCAGGGAGCTCTACTCATCGGGTGGTATCCGTCAAGGATGCCCACTGTTTCCATTCTTATTTAATTTTATCATAGATATGGAGGTTTCCCTCTTGTCACCTAATTACACAGTCGTTGACCTGATCACAGGAGAATTCTCGTTAGACCTAGAATATGCAGATGATATAGTCCTGTTAGGTGAAGACGCTGACAAGATGCAGAGTCTTCTGAACACTGAGTTGCAATTTGAAAATGTTTGGGATGCATTTCTGCACGGATACAAAAGGCTCGATTGGCTTTTGCCAATTTGCGCCACCTATGGCGCCGCCGTGATATTCGTTTGTCTATTAAGGGTCGCGTGTACTGCACAGCAGTCCGCTCTGTTCTACTTTATGGCTGTGAAACATGGCCATTGAAAGTGGAAGATATGAGAAGGCTTCAAGTGTTTGACCACCGTTGCCTTCGTAGTATAGGCCGTATTCCGTGGTGTCACCACGAGAGTAATGCAGTAGTGAGGTGTTGAGTTTTAGAGAGGAGAGGTAAATCAGTTGACGAGGTTATGAACCTTCATCGACTGAGATGGTTGGGACACGTACTACGTATGCCCAGTCACCGATTGCCTCGTCACACAATGTTGGCTGAAGTAGGTCCAGCCTAGAAAAAGGCCCGAGGTGGCCAGACTAAAACATGGCGTCAATGTATGAAGTCTCTGATTGTTGGTTTGAACCATGGGGGGCGATGCAGACTAGATGGTTGGGGTCCGCGGGACAAGAGGAACCAGTGGTTGGAGACCCTAGGTGATATAGCTGAGAACCGATGTCAGTGGCGCAGATGTATACACACATTATCCTCATCTTAACTACACTATACCGAATCTCACCACTTTCTCATTCTTCCTTTCTTTCTTCTCGTACTTTATATTTCTTTTGGCTGCATTCTCTTATCTTCATCCTTCACCTCACTACCTTTCTACTTGATGTAGTGATATGAGGTGTGGCAACTCGGACCGTTAAGCAGTAATGCCTGGTCCTGTGTTGGTATTGACTGATTGAACTTGGAAAGAATCAGCAGTATCGCTTTGAATCCCTCTGTGTTATTGTATCGGGGAGCTTTTGCTGCTATTTCTACTTCCTTTGGTTTCTCCTAGAGGTCTTTCTTTTCTTACTTTGGTATTCATTGTTAAATTCTGTTAACTTCTCGTAATGTGAAGTCTCCATACAGTCACTCTATTCAGTGGGGCAAATCCATAACTGATATTTTCATATTTAGTTTCAACCGTTACAGATGCGAAAGATTCGGTTGTATTCTGTTAACTAGGATTAAAAATTTCTTTTGAAAACTGCTGTATCCACTCTTCCTGTATTGCTTAGTTGAGAGTGAATGTAAATCGATTTTACAACCCTTGATTGACATTTTTAGAAGACTGAAAGTGCAACTAAACAGCTGTCATGTTTTACTTGGAATTTACCTTATATCAACTGAATCATTTTATTAACTACTGTTTTGCACTTCACAACAAACAGTAATTTATCAACTGCATGGGGTGATATATTTTATGTAAGTAGTGAGTAGAGATTATAAAAAATTCTGCTTATTACTCTTGAAAAAGTTTTTTTGATGGTGTAAATGCTAAATTTGCGTTTTCAATCTTGCTTATTTATTGTACTAACAACTAGCAGAGACTTCACTTAAATCTATAAAAAGAAGTATTATTTCTTCTAGCGGATGATAAAACAAAACCTTGTTTATGGTGACTAATATATTGTTTAGCCGCGCGTTTTACTTCATTGAGCTAATTAAAATTTTCATTTTTTTTTCAACTCCCTTTTTTTCGTTCTAAAACTACAACAAAATTACCAGTGTATTTCATGTTTCATAATTTCAGAAAATCTTTTTTTTAAAAGATTTGACTTCCTGTTCAATGTTAAATTGATTAGCATGTAAAGGTTGTTAACCATTTTATACTGATTAAAGATGTCTGGTAAGTTTTGTATGATTTGAAGCGCATAACACAGTTTAAGAATGATTTTTTGCTTGCTTAGTCTCAATACTATAAGGTAAGTGACTAGGTTTAGTTTTTGAGAACATCATATTGACACCCATACTTTTCTCCTATATATTGTTTGTTTGTCTCTCTGTTCTAATTTATCGTAGCTCAAAAACAAACAACAGCACAGCCTTCATCAAATAAACATCCTGACACTTCATTTCATTCTATTTCTGAACAAGAGTTGAGTTCCGATAAAATAAGTGAAACAGTAACAGAGCGAAAGACCACTGTCGTTAACACACATCGGCATACTAATTGCGATGGCGAAAAACTATCTCTTCCATCTGGAAGTTCTATATCATCTAAAGAAACATCCACTGGTCTTATTGGAAAGAAACCTATTAACTGGACAGATTGTGGTAAAGCTATTCGAAAACGCTATAAAGAGCAAGAAGAGCGGGAAAAGCTACTTAATATGCAAAACTCAGTCACACTATCCCCCAGCTTACCAAGTGATTTACCTCGGGATGTAGACACCAAAGTAATATCTCATGTTATGATGCTGATCATGAAGATAACGTTGGTAGTCGCCTGGTGGAACTCAGCAATTCACCGCTTCTTCATCCTGAAATTCATGAAGATCCTGCTATGACTACCCAGCTAAACCATTCTCTATCAAAAAACAAAGAAAATCATTCTGTATTTCCAAATAGTCTGGCGCCTATCAAAAAATCCTCTGATTGTGATAGGATTGATACAGAGGTCGACGTGTCATCTGATTGGCCACCATTATCACCTAGTACAAAACCTAAAGAAAAGCTCCCATACCACGGCGTCTTTGTTGGAGAAGGATGGTGGGACGGAAAAAAGACTGCTGAAACGAAGCCTGTTGGTTCTTACAACCATGTTCCACACTATAACTGCACATCAAATAAATCTCAACTTTCTTCCCAGCTAGTGTCGTCTACTCACAAATCTGAAAACCCTAGTGTGTGCAATAAAGATCGTCCTGAATGGGTTTCCACTTTAGCCAGACTAGACCAACCTCAGTTTGAGGGTGAAATGAGTCAGTTCCTTGATACATGTTCACCTGTAGTGAAAAGTAATCATATGGTATCTAGTAAGTGCATATCCAAAGACAACGTTGAAACCGTGAGTCCTATGCCAAATGAATTATCACATCATGGGCTATTCGTGGGTGGTGGATGGCCGAGTGTAAAATCGAATGAGAAAAAAGTGACACCTAAATGTGAAAATTTTGATACTAAAGAAGTTGAATCTAAGAAAATTTCCCAGAATAATAAGAGTGAATCAGCTCGTCAACTAGATACAAGTACAAACGATTGCGAGTGGAGTTCAGTTCTCACTCAAATTCCTGAAAGTCTTTTAGATTCAGAACAAGTTCAAATTAACCAAATTGATTTGAATGATCTTAGTATATTCACTGCTCTCAAGTCAGAATCACAAAATCACTTGACTTTACTGCCTAACAATTCTGAGCTGTTAAAAAATCAAGGTAACTCTTCTGTCCCCATCATATCTAAGCAGCCTATCAATTCAAAATTGACAGGATTCATGAGTCAATCTGAAGACGCTGATAACCAATACAATATTCAATCACCAACAGACACTAGCTCTCAAAAAGATCTTCATAATATTAACACTATCCAAAATGAAGTCAAGATTGAATTAAAGCCACTTGTTGTTAACAGTGTACCTTATACTTCTCAATGAAAACAGATATGGGAAATATTACGTTAGATGTAAAATCGACAGAAGTTACGTCGGGTATGCATTATGTCGAACATTTGCAACAATCAGTAATGGATCCAGTTGAAATTGATGCACAGACTACTGAACCTGAGTTATCGACTGGTTTGACAAATTCTGAAACCCTTCATAATATGCCTGAACCTTCTATTGCCAGTGATAAGCCTAAACACATAGAAGCTGCTCAATCGAAAGATAAAGCAAAAAAACATAAAAACAGACACAAGAAGAAGAAGAAATCAAATTAATATTTACGTATACCAGTCTATATATCCTACTTACTAATTACAGTCTCATTTTCATTACCTAAAGTGTGTCTTGCTTCTCTTCGACTGATATTTATTACTTTGAAAATGTTTCATTTATTTACTCTTGAAGTAATAACATACATAGAGAACGCATGCCCTTGCGTATAGTGATGTAACTTGTCTTTTAATGCTTTTATTTATCACAATATTGTAAAGAAAAGCAGAAAGAATCGCTCATTCTTCTTTTAACTACTTCTACTTTTGTTCGTAAATCATGGAATTTCAGTTGGATAGTTTCATAAATCTATCTTAGAATATAGGTTGCTACCTCTGTAATCTGTTCACAGTATGACTACTCCAAATGTACAGTTATATTAAGCGGTTACAGGTGGAGCAACCGCATGTGGCAAACGGATACGTAGCAGTAAACTTGTTGCTACCATCTTACCGGTTGTCTAGTAGCTTTCATTTTATCTTTGACCAAGTGTTAATAGCTTATAGTTGTGTTATCTCAGCTCTTTCTTTCATCAATAGGTAGGTTTTTATCTTACCAAACACATATTGGTTTTCTTCCTATAACCATTCGTGATCTGAGTTCAGATCAGATCAGTCAATAATTTAATTCTTGTAAGCAGTTACCACTCATATCATGTTATCTTGATTCTCCAAACATATTCACTTAGTAAAAATTTCGTTCGCAGTATTTTTTCTGAGTGCAGAAAATTGGATATCATGTATTTCAGTATGTGGCGATTCTCTCATTTCAAGATGGTATTCATCACAGATGGACTCAGTTAAGAAACTTTGGACAACTGTTCTGTTTCAGCATAGGACTCTTCAATAGTGTGCACCCATGACCCCACTAAGGATCTGAAATAGGTCTTGTGGTGTGTACGTTACTATCTAGTCTCTGGATCGGAATTCAATTTTCTACTTCTGTCAACTCGAGATAAAGCTTGACAACCATCGAATATCATCGATAAGTAATTTTCTTCGTCGAAAACATACCTTTTGCTCCCTACTGTCAATAAGGATGAGTTGTTCGCGAAATGCATGATGCGTTGTTAGGCTTCAATTAAAGTTTTATAAATTGATAAAAGTTGAAAGGATGTATTCAGTTTCTTGTCTAAGTCAGCTGGTTTTTATTGGGAATGTGTTATGGTGATGAATGCAGTTTGCAATTTTTTTCAGAAAAGTATTATGCACTTGCTTTTAATCGCCAATCAAATAGTATCGGAATAACACAATAGTCATCTTTATTTGCTTAAAGCATGTTGTAGCGAATTATCGTATTTAATCGATAAGTGTTTCCAGGCTGGAACAACGTTTGATAATATAGTTTCAATTAAATAAGGAAATTAATTCAATGGGTATCGAAGAAAAATAATTTTTTCGGCTTAGGTTACTGATGCTCATATTTACCTGCACATATACTGATATTGAAAATGTACAAATCTTTCTCAGATGATGTGTTTCTCAAATTACTTCCTTTTTTTAGCTTTGAATGCACAAATTAATTTAATTTTAGAAGCATAGATCATTCCAAAGATTAACAAAAGATAATTCAACGAAAGTAAATTACTATCTGATAATAACTGAAAACCACCGAAAAATGCACAAGTCTCTAAGTTAAGTTTTAAACTATCCTGGCTCTTCCTCTAAAAATTTCACCTTACTACCACTGTCACAACTCAGAACTGACGCTTGTGTGTCGTTTAAGCTTGAAAAATTTACTGCTGACTGCTTCTAAAATTAATGTAGGTGTAATGACTAAGCTTGAACTCTCACCTTTTTCAGATTTCCTTGGGAATCCATGGAGGGGCTAAGTCTCGACTACCTTGCAAAAACCTCTTGAAATATACATCCCAACCAGTAACCCGTGTAGTTAGCCTAGATTCTTTACGATGAATTTTTCGATAGTCAAAACTTTACTAGTAATATCTTGGATACTAACAACGATACTTTGGAACGCCATTCAAGAAACTAAACGAGTCTGTAGTGATATCAACGATTAATAATTATAAGGGTAGGACTAAAATCTTATCATGCTTGAAGTACTAGCAAAGGACCTTCAAGTGTCTAATTCGGTTGAAGGTAATTGTACGGTCGTTCTGGAAAACTTTGGATTATTGAGGATTTCACTGATTATGTTTGGATGTTTGGGTACAATTTTGATGGTGCTAATTTTGACTGAAGCAAAGTGAATCATTTCGTGTCATCGGCTGGCATTATTTTCTAATTTGGGCGGGATTTTTCACGTGACTGCATTTCATGTAAAGGACAAGAAGTCCCCACAAGAATATTAGGTTGCACACTCTAAAACCTAATTTCAACCCTTATTTTAACTCCTTAAACCGTGCCTTTTAATTCGAAATACCTATTAAGTTATAAAGCAGCAAACAAATTGTCAGTGCTGAAGGAAAGTTCTACTAGCTGTTTATCTGCTGCTTTATGACTTAGTTTTCAAGTTTTATACTTTCGGATCTATAGATCTTCACCAAACTCTTCAATGTCATGAACTTGCCTTTTTGAAAATTTCAAACTTCCACTATTAAATAATTCTACAAGGGTTTCGTACAAATAATTTGTGGGTAATAAGGGACCAACTGAAGCCTCATTTACGTCCGTATCACATTTCAGATGGTTTAGTGGTTTTTAGTCGCATGGATGGATACCTTTATCGTAAGTACTTTCACAACCGCCGGTATCTGGCGTGTAAGCTTAATTTGGCACTCTTGATTAAAGATATTACAATAAATGAAGAGACCAATTAAAATTGCACTCAATATTACTTATTTCTCACAGTTTGAACGAAACAATGACCCCAGCCACTCTACATAAAGCTTACATACCGGATACCGGCAGTATAGAAAAAAGCAGTGGAAAAGAGGTAACTTCGTAAATTTCATAAAAAGAATATAAATCTGTTGCAGTTGCTCAAGAACGGCAAGATCCTGTAGCTTATTATTCTGAATAATGATGTTAACTGTTCAGTACCCTCTAACTTTCATAATCTATTGTAGGCAGTTCAGCACCAAGTTGTTCTATGTCATGACTTACTGATTCAAAAAATCTTGAAGTATTTTGAAAGTTGTGTGAATGTGTTATGGCAGTGTAACTGAAGTTCAATCACTAGACTGTTAGTATAAGATAACTTTCCTATACTGGTGTGGACGTAAAGTGGAGAGTGGGAAATGTAAGGCTACCTAATGTTAGCTTTTCAATCGGCATCACCGCCAAAGGCATTGGTCTATTTCCATTTGTTCTGTATTTTAGTTAGTGCAAGATAACTTTGCAGTGATTTCCTTAGCTTATATACCATATCAGTGCTAAACTGGTGACGCAATTGGTTAACTGCACTCAAGACATTTCTCGACGTATGGGAAAAGGTTACTTTTAATTGGTTGGTATAACTGTCTTCTTGAAAAGTATTTTTAAACGTAGTTAGATAACCTTCAGCACCTGACACTGTGAAAAGATCATCCTGCTTTTTGTAACAAATATCAAAGTCGGCAAGCATTCTATCTTTACCAACCAGTTGTGGGTGAAATCATTTAATTTGATGACGAAATCGTCATAAAGACGTGCTATAATTGCAGTTCCATCTCAATTCAACACATATCAAGGTGAGATAGCAAAACAAACAAAAATACATCGACGGTCGTAAAAAGACAGAAGGCAGTAAAAACATGTCTTGAGGAAACAAGGGTGTGATAGTAAGATGTTAATACCTAGGTAAAAATTGAGAGGTGGATGTAGTTGCACCACTTTACCAGTAATCTAAAAAGAACTAACAAATAGCTGTTTTAGATATTGTGCTAACAAATTGGAAGCACACTTGCATCTAAACTGTCTTTATGTACGCTGCTATCAATCATATGCCTAGGCTAATGGATGAAGTAGCGATTTTAAAACTAACTACCGTTATATGAAGAGATTTTTGTATTCTAAACCTTTTCTGGCTCGTGAGTAAGCGAAAAAGTCATATTCTGACCCGGTGGTCGCTGGTTGAATCCGAACGCGGTTCAGATTATCATCTCACCTCCAATCATCACCCAGTATAAATACTAGTCTGCCAAACTACGGCTATCTCAAATGGTCAAATGATAGGTATATCCGTTGCTATCCGTTCTGCAAACGATAGTTACTTAGCAACATAATATCTCGAAAGAGAAATATAAAACAGTCTAGTTTTTTTTATTCATCTTGTTTGGTCAACAAGACCTGCAAATTGGTGTATATCGCTTACAACTACTCAGATTGTGAGGTTTACAGTCAGAGTTAAAATTGAGAAATAAATTTGGAGATATAATAAAACAGTCAACTTCGTTACTTCGGAAAGTTACGTTGACTAATACTGGGTACACATGATTTACGTATTTGTATTTCCCAGTGAATTACGAATAAAGATAAAGTACACGTAAGTTTATCAATAGCAGTAAACCTTCGGGATTAATCCATAGCAAGACAAACAGAGTCAACGTAGTGCAAGTTGTCCCGCTTTACAGTAGTATACTAAGAACAGGTGGATAGAAAAAGTTATATCTAAGTACACAAAATTGTGTAACAATCAAAAACTTGAAGATAACGGTTACAGCGTATATTCAAATTTTAGGCGACGTCAAACAGTGAACACATTTGCGCCACTGCGACCGATTTGCAACCATGTCACCAAGATTTCTCAACCACTGATTCTTATTGCCTCGGCTGCCCCAGCCACATAATCTACATCTCACACGGTTCTCACAAACAGTCAGGGACTTCATGGACTGGTGCCACGTCTTGGTCTGGCTAACAACCTAATCTAACTTCCCCTAGCATGGCATATGGAGCTAGGCGGTGACTCGGCATGTGCAGCATATGTCCAAGTAACCTCAGCCGATGAAGGTTCACAACCTCATCAATCGCCTTGCCTAGTACCCTACGGCTGACCTCAGCACTGCTCATAAGGTGATTACACCAAACACAAGGAGTGCTACAAAGACACTTGTGATCAGTAACCAGTCCGTTCGGGCTGATGCAACTCCCTAAGTATGTGCAGTAGTCGACACACCCCACTCTCCATCATTAAACTAGGAGTTTAGTTGCAGTCCAATCCTAAAGCATCTGACAGGTGCGAAACGCATGCCAGTCAAACATACATTTCTGCTCAACGCGTTCAGACGTCCCTGCATTTTATCAGCGTCTTTACCTAGCAGCACAATATCGTTTGCATACTACAAGTCAACTAGAAGACCTCCAGGGAGTAGATCAATTCCAGTGAAATCAGACGTACCTAAGATTATGTCCATTAGTACGCTTACGGTGAAATTAAGTAGGAACGGTAACAGTGGGCATCCCTGACGGACACCACTAGTTGCCATCAGTCCACATGACAACTCTTCATAAACCCATACACGGGTGCATGAGTTCGAGTGAGTACTATATTTTCTTGATATTCCCTTCACAGTCGGACACTGCCACAATACCTCACAGTCAACTAGGCCAAATGCAACCTTCAAGTCAACAAATATGGCAAGTGTTAGCCTGTGGCAGACTTGCCTGTGTTACAGGACCCACCGTAGTGTAAAAATATGATCCATGCACGTCGTCGATGTCTGAAACCTACCTGATTTTCTCGAGCTCCAGTTAGGTATCCGATATCTATGGATCATAGGGCTTCAGACACGATATTAGTCAAACTAATCCTCCTATAGTTGTCATGAGGAGACTTCTCTCCCTTCTTGTAGACTGGGATGATCAGTGAAGTACACTAGTCTGACGGCACTATATATGATTCTTATACAATACCTCTGTCAACCTCTATCCTTGGAGAATTCGGATGGCAAACTGTTACGTCCTGCTGCTTTGTATCATTTCAGGCCTGATACAGCTTTCTCAACTTCAGGAAGAGTTCGAGGAGTGACATCGACATGCTATTCATGTTCAGGCTGGATGTTGAGCGACTTAAGAGTTGCTGAGGATTAGTTGAACTGCGCTTTAAAATGTTATGTCCAACGTTCTAGCAGTCCGTCCTGGGAGGTTATCAGCGTTCCATCTTTTTTGGCAATAGCTTCACCAATCCTCCTCTTACTGATATCCTTAATAAGTCTAAATGATTGCCAGATGTTATCGATCGCTGATACCTTCTCCGTCTTGTTACTGCTTGCCGTCGTCTAGATTATACTTGGTCAACTTGCGTGTAAGTTTCTTTCGCTCTTCATCGTGGTCAGAGCCAGCTGGAATCAGTCTTCTCACACCAATCAGTTCTGATGAGGTGGACATCCAATGATGTTAGCCAACCTTCGAATGTAGGTTACCATCTGTCCCTACCGCTGTTTCCACATCAGATTTAATATCACGCCAGGTTTCCCCAGCAAGAGCATTGCTCTAGTGTTCAGGTAAATGCTTAGGTAACTCCTCCCTAAATACGTACGTACTTGGCGCCCTCATCTTCCGGTCGAGCACATATAAGCCTTACCAAAGACTGTTTTCTGAGACTAGTAAGTCACAGATATACACGAACCCCCAATAAAGCATGACCGGAATCTAAAGAGGTACCCCAGAAGGAGTGGCAATCCTCCACCAATCCTCTCTAATCTTGGCTTACAACAATTTGATCTTTCTGTATCCATTGTTGGTTTGAAGTCGGCGGACATCATGCGAGACAGTGTCTCTCCTTACACTTTAAGTTAGTGCAGATCGGAAGCAAGTGGTTGGCTATCAGAAAAAATTGCAACAGATGATCACCGTCCTCGCTTCGTTGGCATAGCATTCCGTAAATATCCCCAAGATGCCTTTGGTTCCCTGCTTGGGCGCTAAAGTCACCCACTATTATGACATCTGAACTGTTTGCCTTCCGTAGTAAAATTGACAGCTTTTTATAGAATTCCTCCTTTGCATCATTCGAACTGCAGTCGTTAGACGCGTAGGCGGAGATTACGAATAGACACCGGCTGTTCTAACGATCCTTTTTAGTTCTCTAGTTTTAAAAGCGAAAGTTTTGTTAAAATAGGTTGATGGTACGTTTATAGTTTTAGAAGGGCGATATATAGGACGTATTCTTAGACAAGTTTAACACTGGATACTTCAGTATCGAGTTGAGTCGAAAAACAGAGTCGCACGATTGAGAACTACTCTTCCTTAATTTTCTAGAGATGTAAAATTGAACATTTGAATATGACTGTTTTCAAAAAAGCAACCCATCTGAATAAATTCTTAGATGCCGACTTATCACACTTAGCAGTGCAAAGACCTTAAGTACGCCACAGAGCACCTTGGTTCATGTGTAGGACAAATTGTGAAATTTATGAAATAAAATCTTCAGACTGTGATTCAGCATCTTACAAAACTTTGAAATTAGGGTTAAAAATTTGACACCGGACCTTCACGTCCAACGGAGCTCAAAAAGCTTGGAAACATAACTCCTCTACATTATTAAATTTCAGGTCACAATATTGATACTATTCAGGAAGGCTTTAAAACTAAACACTTCCCATAGCAGTGTGTCCAGGCACAATGAGATTATATTTGTCTAATGAATGAGGGAGTGAAACGGTTTGATCTAGTCTTGCTCTATCCTTACAAACTGAAGCCATTAACACTTTCAGATATGATAACTGCACCCAAACTTCAATCTGTAATTCAAACACTGAACAAACTATATCTTTCTATTCTTTTGACAAGGTACAAAATCAATGCAGAAAAACCTCTGTCAGGTTAACACATAAAAGCTCGTAGAATGCAAGTTATGGTTAACCAATACTTTGGTGACGCCACTAGCGACATGTCAATAAAAACAACCTAGTTTTTAATCTTTAAAAAGAAGCGAATACCGCTAATCTATAACTAAAGTTTATAAAACCATAAAACTTCCGCTTGGTTTGAATATGCATAGTCGGGACTCCAAGCTTTCTGAAAGGCACAGTGTGTCATTCAACAGGCAATTCTTATCGCATAGTTACGATGTCTAAAACCATGAAGCTTACTATTTACACAGCTACAATCCAAAGTAGCCTTAAAATAACTAGTATCCTTCACACATGTTCATCAAATGGCACAAAAAGACTCTCCGGAACAAGAAATAATACGTTCAAACATCACTCCTTCATACTAGCTATATATTCCCCATCAAAAAACCTAACAATAATGACTAGGACTAGTCTCCTCAGCAAATCCAACAAAACGGAGACTACTTGTCACCACCCTTATCAACCATCACCGCCCACAAAGCGCGTAAACGTTTGGTTGCTCACCATTCTTCCACAGCCACTTTTAGCAGGGTATCAACGCACCCACTGAAATCAGTAAGTTTCTTTTACCCTCCGATCAAATCGCAAGGAAGTATATACTTCCTTAGGATAGTAGGGACACGTGTGCTTTAGTAATGGCTTACGAAAATCCTGTCTGCATGAATGAACTCGTCAATAAGTCTGGACGACTCGTAGACACATGGGATCCGGGGCGATATTCCCAATAAACTTACTATGGCGTCTACATGCAACGAGATAAAACAGTCTTTCGCAAAAGTTTTTGTAAAACTGGTGAATTCGCACCGAAACCAAACTAGTAAGACTGAGAAGTTCTAACCGGCGCACAACCAGCCATATATGTTCAGCCTTGTTAATGTAGTTGTCAACAAAAATTTCAACAACTACACTAATGTATTACGACAGCTTTGCTGAAATTGATACATGGTCTACAGGGTGTAACTAAAAAATGTGGTTACCAGTTGGCACAAAAATTGTGAAACAACTATCCACTTAAAGTATATTTACGAATGTACATAAGTATATATAAAAATGAAAACATTCATCCCCACAAATCACTCCGTTGCATCGCTGTTGGTTACGGAGAATGGTGTATCAACAGGGATATGGCCACAATCGGCAATCCTAATACTTTTAACCGGTCTATCACGAGAATCCGTCTGACTGTTCTCAATTTCTCTTACAATTTTCTGCAAAATAAGTGCTTAAGTTATTCCAACTAACCATTCCCTCCAAAACCTTGCCAAAAACTACGTGTTTTCCGTCTAACCAAGGGGTTTTTATAGTAGTGATAAAAAATTGACTGCCATTTGTGTCACGGCCTGCAACGATAATATTTTAGCGAAAAATTTACCGCTATTAGCCATAGATAACCAGCCAGCACCCACATGTTTTAACTTAAAGTTTTCATCCGCAAACTTATCACCGTATATGCTGAAACCTGAAGAAATAAGTAAGTTACACATTTACCTCCAGTGCCATCATGATTTGAGAAATCACCGCCTTGTATCATAAATGACTTGATAACACGATGGAAGCTACTACCCTTATAAGCAGCAGTTCGACCGTCAGGCTATTATATCAATATTTTAATTTGATTGTGTATGTACTCACTAGTTTCGTACCTATAGCGATCTGCTTAAAGTTCTCAACTGTTCTGGGCACTGTTTTTCCAAACAACCCGATGATAATCCGTCCCAGTGGCTTCCCATCTACCTCAATATCAAGAAAAACCTACGCAAACATAAGTTAGTGTCCAGGTTTACCTACTTTATCTGTCACTTTAGGTCCATTTGCCTGGCTTTTAGTCAGTCCCAGATAAAAAACTGATATTATAACCAGGGAGCAAAGTATCTTCAGAGCAGCCATATACTTAGATTTGTTACTGATCGAAATGCCGCGCACACACCAAGACATATATTGCGCTGTTTCACGTGTACGCACATAAACAAACCTTTCAAACCCGAAACCTTCTTCTTATTTCAGATACAATGAAATAAAATTTCTGTTTGCTTTGCATCCCCAGTGTTAAAATTTGAGTTTCTGTGTGGAGCTCCGCTCCAGTTTGTTTCTCACAAATATCGTCGACGAACCACTTGTCTTGAACGTGTCGTAGAAAAAAATGATATTTGATCCCATTTTATATTCTGTCCCATGCTATTCTTGCCATCAGGTTGAGGCGCCCCGAGAGCGTTAAAGGAGCCTGACATCCGTGCAACTTTTTCGTAGCGAGTAACCAAACCAAGGAAAAATGACACAAAAGTGATAGATGGGCCTATAAAGTCTAAGAAACACAATTTATTCCTATTCCTTAAATAAATCTGTCAGATCGCAGATTTGGGTAGTGGTTGAATTAAATACCACCATCAAAATTACGCTCTATCTTCTTTTCATTCAGCATTTAGGATTTGTCCTGGTGCGAACTTGACAGACGCAAAGACCAATCACTAATTATTCGAACTTGTTATATACCCACGAATACTAGACCAAGGAAGAACACCATAACGTAGTCGGATGGAATAGTATATTTGGATGGTTATGCCAAAATACCGATGCGTTCCAACTAACTGGCTAGAGAGTCGAATACGAGCAGTGGAACGTAACACGACGGCGTGCCAAATGGCGAGGATGCTTGACCGGGTGCCTTCAGCTTAGCGAGTCCAGTTAAACTATCAAGGTCAGCATCAATGTCGAAAGTCGTCAAACCCTAGGCTATTGATTTTGAGGAAGTGTATGACGCTACAAGCAGTCCGAGCCAGACACTAACGTAATACCAGGTGCCTGTTTCAAATTGCTGCTTTAATTGCTGCCATTATTCACATCACTCAAATGAAACGGTTGTAGCGTCATACACTTCCCCAAAATCAATAGCCTAGGGTTTGACGACTTCGACATTGATGCTGACCTTGATAGTTTAACTGGACTCGCTAAGCTGAAGGCATCCGGTCAAGCATCCTCGCCATTTGGCACGCTGTCGTGTTACGTTGCATTGCTCGTATTCGACTCTCTAGCCAGTTAGTTGGAACGCATCGGTATTTTGGCATAACCATCCAAATATACTATTCCATCCGACTACGCTATCGTGTTCTTCCTTGGTCTCGTATTCGTGGGTATATAACAAGTTCGAATAATTAGTGATTGGTCTTTGCGTCTGTCAAGTTCGCACCAGGACAAATCCTAAATTGGTGAGCCCGACGTGCGACGTGATCACATATCCCGAACAATAGCAAGTATTGAATTGGTGAGCCTGTTCCATTTTATATTTGTTTATTGTTTTCATTTCGATAACATTTATATATCCATTTACTACACTTTCTCATGTCCGACCACACTCCCAAGCTTATTCGTATTAAGCCGACCTCGAACACGATCCAACTCGTGCCATATTGGCCAGACAATGCAGAAACATGGTTTCTGTATGCCGAGGCCGATTTTCGAGAACAGGGTGTCTCAGATCCTCATCTCGATTTCTTGCTGTCATACGTTCACTACCGCGAGAATTAAACAGGTTGTTACAGCAAACATGTTTAATCCTGAAGTAAGTGACCCTTATGCACTTCTAAAGGCTGCACTCTTGAAGAAAAGCGATCTCACAGATCGCCAACGTCTAGACGAATTGCTTCGTAACATCGAGCTAGGCAGCCACTCAGCTACTGAAGTCCTCGCACGCATGCGAGAAGTAATCGGTGCACGAACATTTGACGATGGTTTCTTCCGAGAACTATTTCTCTCGAAACTACCACAACCGGTGCAAACCGTGTTGGTGACACTCCAGTCAGTCCCACTCGACGACCTGGCAGCTTCAGCAGATAAAATACTGGAGATATCCAGCAGACCCGTCTCCAACGTATATTCTATCTGTGACAAAACAGAGCGCCAGGATTCGGAGGTGACCAAGTTGTGCAACTCTGTGAAACGGTTGCTACGATCTCGAAGTCCTAGATCACGTAGCACTTCACAGAAACGCACCTTGGCGCATCGCAGCAAGTCGCGTGGTAGCCCTAAAACGAAACCCAACAGGGTGGAAAACCCTGAATGGTGCTGGTTTCATAACACTTACGGGGATGAAGCCAGAAAATGTCGTAAACCATGCCGTTTTAAGAAGGACCCAAACTCGGGAAACGGTCACGCCGGCACGTGCTCACGGCAACCGTAGCCGGCGGAAAAAGCCGTTTGCTCTACGTCACCGACATTAAAACGAAAGTCCGCTACCTCGTCGACACCGGCGCAGAAGTTAGCGTTCTTCCAGCAACGACAAAGGAGCGTCATCTCGACCCATCCTTCAATCTTCAAGCAGCCAACGGCAAGGCAATCGCGACATTCGGGAGACGGTATGCCTACCTCAACTTAGGTTTACGCAAACCTATTCACTGGATTTTCCTCCTGGCAGACGTCTCTATGCCCATCATTGGCATAGATTTGCTGAACCATTACGATCTACTCGTAGATGCTCGCCGTCGACGACTGATAGATAACAACACAAAGTTATCTATTGGCGGCACCACCTATGTAGGTCCGAGTTTAGCCATCGTTAGGACTAAACAATCAGGCGACGCGTCCTACCAGGCAGTTCTGGAGAAATATCCAGAGTTACAACAACCGAAACACACTCTTCCGTGCATAACCAGCAATGTTATGCATCACGTCACAACCACAGGTCCACCTGTGGCATCCAAAGCTCGCCGTTTAGCCCCCGATAAGCTGCAAACGGCGAAAAATGAATTCGACCATATGCTCGAACTGGGCATTATCAGACCGTCAAACAGTCCTTGGGCATCGCCATTGCACATGGTGCCCAAAAAGGATAGCAACGACTGGCGTCCGACCGGTGATTACCGAAGGCTTAACGCCAAAACAACTCCGGACTGCTACCCTATACCCCACGTTTACGACTTGACCGCAACCTTATGCGGCATGAACATTTTCTCGAAAATCGACTTAGTCAAAGCGTACAACCAGATACCTATGGCAGCAGAAGATATCGCGAAAACAGCCATTATTACTCCTTTTGGCCTGTTTGAATTCCTGCGCATGCCTTTTGGTCTTCGGAATGCAGCACAAACATTCCAACGCTTTATGGACGACGTCTTCCGTGGTCTGAATTTTGTTCATGTCTACATAGATGACTGTCTAATTGCGAGTCCAGATAAGGAAACACACCTTAAACATTTGGACCTCGCATTCGAAAGACTCAAAAAACATGGCATCACAGTTAACTTACAGAAGTGTGAAATAGGAGTTGAATCACTCAGCTTCCTTGGGCATACCATTGACAACAAAGGTATACGCCCATTGAGAGATAAAGTGGCGGCTATCACAAACTATCCAGAGCCGACCACTGTGAAACATCTCCGCACTTTCAATGGCCTGGTAAGTTATTACCGAAGGTTTATCCCTAACTGTGCCTCTGTCATGAGACCACTCACAGATCTACTTCGAGGAACTGCGAAGTTCGTGTCTCTGGACAACGCGGCTAGACTTGCTTTCTCCAAAGTCAAGGAAGCCATTTCGAACGCAACCATGCTTATGCATCATGACCCCAATGCTCCTCTGAGTATTGCTGTTGATGCATCTGATTCAGCAATTGGAGCAGTTTTGCAACAGTTGACTGACAACCAGTGGCAACCGTTAGCCTTTTTCTCGAGGCGGCTGCAAGACGCGGAAACAAGATACAGTACATTTGGTAGGGAACTCCTAGCCATGTACTGTTCTGTACGCCATTTTCGACATTCTGTGGAAGGTCGTGATTTCATTATTTTCACAGACCACAAACCGTTAACGTTTTCCCTCAGCTCGGCGTCTGACAAATACTCCCCTCGTGAGTCGCGACAGCTGGATTACATTTCCCAGTTCACGTCAGACATCCGCCACATTTCTGGAGCAAACAACTCCGCAGCCGACGCACTATCTCGAATAGCTTCGATAAACTATATCGAGGGTATTGATCTCGTTGAACTAGCTCGGCGTCAAAAGGAAGACCTTGAGCTGCATCATGAGTTGTCGTCCACAACTCTCAAACTGCGACTTTGTCCTGTTGGATCAGACAAGGATGCAATTTTGTGCGATGTCTCTGCTAGTCAACCACGCCCAATAGTTCCGAAGAGTTGTCGACGCAACGTCTTCAATACGTTGCACAAACTCTCTCATCCAGGTGTACGAGCCACCATTAGGCTTATCGCACAACGTTTCTGCTGGCCTGGGATGAACAAAGACGTTAAGGAGTGGGCCCAGTCGTGCTTAGCTTGTCAAAAGTGTAAAGTCACGCGACACACGAAAAGCCCTTTAGGCTCATTTCTAGCCCCAGACATGCGTTTCGACCACGTCCATATAGATATTGTAGGACCCCTACCAGAATCTAATGGATGTACCTACCTTTTCACCTGTGTTGATCGTTTCACACGATGGCCGGAAGCAGTACCCATTAAAGATATTACTGCCGAAACAGTTGCTCGTGTTTTCGTCGAAAGATGGATCGCGAACTTCGGATGTCCATCCTACGTCACAACCGACCGTGGGCGCCAATTTGAGTGCGGACTATTTCACGCTCTAACGGCACTTTTAGGTTGCACTCGGTTCCGAACGACAGCCTACCATCCACAAGCAAATGGCATGGTAGAGCGTTTCCATCGACAGCTGAAAGCTTCCCTTTCAGCTACAAACATACCTCAGTGGACCGAGGCTCTGCCTCTAGTCCTACTAGGTATTCGTAACGCGTTGAAAGTTGATGCTGGATGCACTCCTGCAGAACTCGTCTATGGGACCACTCTTCGCCTACCAGGTGAGTTTGTTTCCCCTTCAACTTTCAAACATGTTTCCGACAGGGCATCTTACGTGACTAGGCTTACAAACGCAATGCGTTCAGTTAGGCCTTCTCCGATTAGACCGCAAACGACTGATGTTTTCGTCCACCCCAGTTTACAGAAGACATCACACGTGTTTGTTCGCCACGA